ATGTCAATGGGAGAAGTCTGAACATTCAAGTGTAGTGTGTGGATATGAATAAAGCCCTAAATGACAGGTGGTTTGTAAAGACAATGACTAGACTGTTTCATTTTCTCTCAATGCCTTGGTACCCTTTCAGTATGTATGCATGTATGTATGTGTGCGCTATTGACGTCATGCCACTGAGAAGACCATAGCTGTGTTCGAATACCCATACTAACATACTGTATACTACATACTTAATGAGTATATACACTACATACTATTAGTTCATTTTAGTATATTGTAAACGAACGGTATCGTTTCAGTTGAGCATAATAGCGCTTCGCCTGTCTACCGGAAGTTGATGCTGTTGCTATGCAACCTCTTGCTAGCATAACAAATGACCTGCTAGACATTTTATGATTTCGGGTGTGTTCGTAAATTCAATCTGGAGTGCCAGAGAGCGCTCTGGGCATTCGTAAATTCAGAGCGTTGTCAGATTGTCCGTTCGTAAATTCAGAGCGTTTTGCTCTCGGAGAGTTCACAGCGCACACAGGACGCTCTGGCCAAGGAGTTGGGTTGATCGGAGCGTTCTGACCTTACAACGGCAGTCAAGCTAACTGGCTAACGTTGGCTAGCTACTTCCAGACACAAACGAGAGAACACCTCACTCTGACCATTTTACTCGCCCATCAGAGCTGGTTAGGTTGTTTTCATGTTAGTCAGAGCGTTGGTGACTAACTGTGCTGCTGGCAACAATTGAATTACGCTTTTTTTGGGCGACGTTTACTGACACCGGCCATATTCAACCGGTGTTGAGCGTTCGTAAATTCACCAGTTATTTTGCGCTCTAGCACACTCAGACGAGAGTGCTCTGAAATCGGAGTTGATAGACAAAATTAACAATGTCCATTGAGAACGCACAACGACTATACCACTTAGCTAAGAATGACGTGAATAATCAACTCAATAAACGTTGGGTAGTTAGATAGATAGCATATAGTTAATATACTGCCTGGCAAATGCGTTGTATTCGCCAACTGACATTAGGTAACTAGCTAACATACCGGTACATATTACTGCTGTAATGCTATGCGGTTCGTAAGGATAGCATAGCTAACAAATTGTCAGCCGACATAACGTGTAACGTAACTTATTTGAAAAGTCATTACTTTATTACATGCAATGAATTTGTATCCGCTCTCGTTGGACTTCGCCTGCATATTTTCCGCCATTTTCTTCTAATCTGAACACGTTGTGAAGCCACGCCCATTTCCTGAAGAATTGCATTATGGGCCCTAAAACTACGGAAAGTGTCCACTGCTTGTATACTTCGTATTTTGGCGAATTTAGTACGACATCCGGGAACTTTTGGCATACTAACTATATCCATACTATGACCAATACACATTCTACATATTCAATTTACGTCACAAATAGTAGTTAGTGCGGTTAGTATGAGTATTCGAACACAGCTCATGACTCATTTACCTCATGCACACAGAAAACACTAACAGTAGTTGTCAATGTTGTCAAAAAAGGAAAAGTTTACAGGGAACTCTGGAGTGGCCAGAGGAGAGGACAGGGGAGAAAAGGAAGAGAAAAAAGAGAGAGAAATCTTAGTTCACCCAAAGGGAGTACACAGTAAAGGTTATACATGAGATACGTAACAACAGGAACAACAAGTATTATCATACTTCAATCTTCAGTTATGTCATCGTTCTAGCCCATGTTGTTGGCATATGGGGATCTGGGAAGGTGTGTGTGTGTAGTTTGTGTGTGTACAGTATGTGCCTATGTACAGTACTCATTCAAGGCTTTTTCTTTATTTTTACAATTTTCTACATTGTAGAATAATAGTGAAGAAATCAAAACTATGAAAGAACACATATGGAATCATGTAGTAACCAAAACAAGTGTTAAATCAAAATATATTTTATATTTGAGATTCTTCAAAGTAGCCACCCTTTGCCTTGATGACAGCTTTGCACATTCTTGGCATTCTCTCAACCAGCTTCATGATGTAGTCACCTGGAATGCATTTCAATTAACAAGTGTACCTTCTTAAAAGTTAATTTGTGGAATTTCTTTCCTTCTTAATGCGTTTGAGCCAATCAGTTGTGTTGTGACAAGGTAGGGTGGGTATACAGAAGATAGCCCTATTTGGTAAAATATACTATGGCAAGAACAGCTCAAATAAACAAAGGGAAATGACAGTCCATCATTACTTTAAGACATGAAGGTCAGTCAATCCGGAACATTTCAAGAACTTTGAAAGTTTCTTCAAGTGCAGTCGCAAAAACCATCAAGCGCTATGATGAAAGTGGCTCTCATGAGGACTGCCACAGGAATGGAAGACCCAGAGTTACCTCTGCTGCAGAGGTTAAGTTCATTAGAGTTAACTGCACCTCAGATTGCAGCCCAAATAATAATAATAATATGCCATTTAGCAGACGCTTTTATCCAAAGCGACTTACAGTCGTGCGTGCATACATTTTTGTGTATGGGTGGTCCCGGGGATCGAACCCACTACCTTGGCGTTACAAGCGCCGTGCTCTACCAGCTGAGCTACAAATAAATGCTTCACAGAGTTCAAGTAACAGACACATCTCAACAGCAACTGTTCAGAGGAGACTGCGTGAATCAGGCCTTCATGGTCGAATTGCTGCAAAGAAACCACTACTAAAGGACACCAATAAGAAGAAGAGACCTGCTTGGGTCAAGAAACACGAGCAAAGGACATTAGACCGGTGGAAATCTGTACTTTTGTCTGATGAGTCTAAATGTGAGATTTTTTGTTCCAACCGCCGTGTCTTTGTGAGATGCAGAGTAGGTGAATGGATGACGTCCGCATGTGTGGTTCCCACCGTGAAGCATGGAGGAGGTGTGATGGTGCTTTGCTGGTGACACTGTCTGTTATTTATTTAGAATTCAAAGCACACTTAACCAGCATGGCTACCACAGCATTCTGCAGCGATACGCCATCCCATCTGGTTTGCACTTAGTGGGACCATTCTTTGTTTTTCAACAGGACAATGACCCAAAACACACCTCCAGGCTGTGTAAGAGCTATTTGACCAAGGAGAGTGATGGAGTGCTGCATCTGATGACCTGGCCTCCACAATCACCTGACCTCAACCCAATTGAGAAGGTTTGGGATGAGTTGAACTGCAGAGTGCTGGAAAAGCAGCCAACAAGTGCTCAGCATATGTGGGAACTCCTTCAAGACTGTTGGAAAAGCATTCCTCATGAAGCTGGTTGAGAGAATACCAAGAGTGTGCAAAGTTGTCATCAAGGCAAAGGGTGGCTCCTCAAATTGGTTACTACAGTGAGGGAATAAAGTATTTGATCCCCTGCTGAGTTTGCCCACTGACAAAGACATGATCAGTCTATAATTTTAATGGTAGGTTTATTTGAACAGTGAGAGACAGAATAACAAAACAAAAATCCAGAAAAACACATGTCAAAAATGTTATAAATTGATTTGCTTTTTAAATGAGGGAAATAAGTATTTGACCCCTCTGCAAAACATGACTTAGTACTTGGTGGCAAAACCCTTGTTGGCAATCACAGAGGTCAGACGTTTCTTGTAGTTGGCCACCAGGTTTGCACACATATCAGGAGGGATTTTGTTCCACTCCTCTTTGCAGATCTTCTCCAAGTCATTAAGGTTTCGAGGCTGACGTTTGGTAACTCGAACCTTCAGCTCCCTCCACAGATCTTCTATGGGATTAAGGTCTGGAGACTGGCTAGGCCACTCCAGGACCTTAATGTGCTTCTTCTTGAGCCACTCCTTTGTTGCCTTGGCCGTGTGTTTTGGGTCATTGTCATGCTGGAATACCAATCCACGACCCATTTTCAATGCCCTGGCTGAAGGAGGTTCTCACCCAAGATTTGACGGTACATGGTCCCGTCCCCTTTGATGCGGTGAAGTTGTCCTGTCCCCTTTGCAGAAAAACACCCCCAAAGCATAATGTTTCCACCTCCATGTTTGACGGTGGGGATGGTGTTCTTGGGGTCATAGGCAGCATTCCTCCTCCTCCTCCAAACACAGCGAGTTGAGTTGATGCCAAAGAGCTCGATTTTGGTCTCATCTGACCACAACACTTTCACCCAGTTCTCCTCTGAATCATTCAGATGTTCATTGGCAAACTTCAGACGGCCCTGTATATGTGCTTTCTTGAGCAGGGGGAACTTGCGGGTGCTGCAGGATTTCAGTCCTTCACGGCGTAGTGTGTTACCAATTGTTTTCTTGGTGACTATGGTCCCAGCTGCCTTGACATCATTGACAAGATCCTCCCGTGTAGTTCTGGGCTGATTCCTCACCGTTCTCATGATCATTTTAACTCCACGAGGTGAGATCTTGCATGGAGCCCCAGGCCGAGGGAGATTGACAGGTCTTTTGTGTTTCTTCCATTTGCGAATAATCACACCAACTGTTGTCACGCTCGTTGGTCTTGGCCATGGTGGAGAGTTTGGAATCTGATTTGATTGATTGCTTCTGTGGACAGGTGTCTTTTATTCAGGTAACAAGCTGAGATTAGGAGCACTCCCTTTAAGAGTGTGCTCCTAATCTCAGCTCATTACCTGTATGAAAGACACCTGGGAGCCAGAAATCTTTCTGATTGAGAGGGGGTCAAATACTTATTTCCCTCCATTAAAATGCTAATCAATTTATAACATTTTTGACATGCATTTTTCTGGATTTTGTTGATGTTTTTCTGTCTCTCACTGTTCAAATAAACCTACCATTACAATTATAGACTGATCATGTCTTTGTCAGTGGGCAAACGTACAAAATCAGCAGGGGATCAAATACTTTTTTCCCCCTCACTGTACATGATTCCATATGTGTTATTTCATAGTTTTGATGTCTTCACTATTATTCTACAATGTAAAAATAAAGAAAAACCCTGGAATGAGTAGGTGTGTCCAAACTTTTGACTGGTACTGTATGTGACCTACCTTGAGTGGTGATGTTCCTCTCGTTGAGCAGCTTGGTCTGACTGTTGGGCAGGATCTTGATTTCAGAAGGGTCTTGGCTCTGGCCAACACGTGACGCCATCAGAGCATTCAGGTACTGCATGCGAGTCACCTGGCAGAGGGAGGGCACTGTGAGTCTGACAAACACACACACAGAGGAAGACACACATACGGAGGCACTCATGACACTCACCCTCACACACAGGTTCTAACACAGACACACTCTCACCCGTATGAGCTGCAGGTCAGTGAGGGCACGGACGGTGTAGTCGGGACAGTAGCTGGACGGGCTGGTGGCGTCTCCCAACTCAAACGGATCCCTGGGAGAACGACGCTGGGTCGACACTGGAGACTGGTGCACTGGACACACACAAGTGCATCAAACAAACGCACACACACTAACACTGGCCTCAGCTCATTTTGTGCCACCCAGTACACTTATGCTACGACGGTGTTGCACTGAAGTTCACAGGAATCTCAAGGGACAGAACCCCTGTGTCAGCTCATTTTGTGTTTCCCTGTCAAACTGTGCCACCTCGTTGAAATACAGCATGAAATTATGACACCAACTTTGCATTACGAAATCAAATAACAGATTATATGTAAATGACACTGGTAGCCTGGAACTCAAGATAAAAGCACTAGCTTGCGAATGTTGTGGTGTGATACATCACAGAGTATGAAACGGAAGAAAATGGACTGGACTCACCCCCCCCCCCCAAAAAAAAAAAACCCTCATTATTGTTTCCCGTTGTGAAACGTTTATTATTTTCTTATTCCATCGAGAGCCCTAATGAGCTCGACCCAGGTAATGGTAGTGAGGTACTCGTGTGTCCTGCAGTTCTGTGGCTTACCTGAGGTTGGCGCTGTGAGTGCAGACACACCGTAGTATGTGAATGCTCCGTTCTCAAACTTCAAGCCCTCTTTACCGATCTCTACCTCCACACGGCCCTACATAGATAGTCAGTTAAAGTAAAACATATGCATGTGACAACACACACAAACATCTGTAGTAACACACATATACACAGACCTGTAGTAGCAGCATGAAGGACTATAAGGGGTGGTTGAAGTAATGGTCACATGGACACAGACAGACAAAACACACACACTGACCTGTAGTAGCAGTATGAAGTAGTCTACGGGGTGGTTGCGTGTGTAAAGGTAGTGGTCTGCGCTCAGGCGGTTGGAGGGGTCAAAGTGGACTTCCTGGTTGACACTGGGGTGACGCAGCAGGTGGAATAACACCTTCTCTGACACGCGGGCTGGATTGAAGTGTTCTACCTCTGTAAGGAGACACACACACAGTTACAGCAGAGGACACAGACACACACACTGGAACAGCACCTCCTCAGGACCTTTCCAGGACACACATTGTCATTGCTTTGCACAAGCGTGTTGCCAAATACACAGGTCTGTGTTGCTTTCGTTATCCAATACATTTGTGTTGGGCTGGGACAAAAGCCTGCACACCACGCAACTATGCAGGAGCAGGGTTGTTGACCCCTGGCCTATGGTTTCATCACTGTTCAAAAGTATACTCAATTGTAATTAGAAAAGAAAAGCTATTGTAACTAGCTAGTCTAGTCTATTGTAGTCTACATTCTGTTTTATTTTTAGTCCAAACCTTAGGGGCTTAAATTGACCCATGTCAAGCAGCTGAAGAGGACAGAGAAAGGTCAAACAACAGAGACTCACATCCAAAGACTACGCCCTACAGCACATGCAGATGAACTATGCCTGTTGAATATCCATTCCTGCATATTTTCCACTGTGAGTATTTAGCTTGTTTCCATTTACTTCTATTTCAGTGATGGAATCATTACTAGTGGTGTTAAACTGTCGCTGTCCTGGTAAACCACTGACAGAGTCGGAGGGTTCGAGTCACAACAGGCTGGATACATGAGAGGAGTGTGGGTGTCTCTGTGTGTTTCATTTACTCATTTTAAGGAGTCTTTCTAACGCAGACACACACATACTCCCACCCTCACCTCTGGACAGGAAGCGGTGTGTGGCCAGCAGTAGCTGAGGTGAGGTGCGGATCTTGGGTTCGCCCTCAGGAAGTTTGAACAGAGAGAACTCTTCGTGGACACTGCGAGGCTCCAGGGAAATCTCCAGAGGGGCCAGAGGACGCTTCACCTTCATGTCGACTACAGAGAGACAGGGTGGAGGGAGAGGGGTTAGAACAGGAGGACAGAGAGGGCAGGAGAGGAGGGATATCAATTGTAGGAAGACAGAAGAACATTCTATCAACGATACTAAATACAAATACTGTCCTCTTACCCAGTAACCCATTGCACAAACACATACTCTCTCTGTATCTAATTTCACATACACACACTCTTGTACATTCTCTTAATTTTCACACACAAACACGCACAAAATCTCTGTCTCTTACTGTATCCGTCGGACTCATCTAGGATCTCTGATTTGATGATCTCCTCGATGACGTCCTCCAAGGTGACCAATCCCAGCACCTCGTAAAACGGGTCTCCCTCCCCCTCATTGTTCACCTTTTGAACGATGGCCAGGGCTGAGTTTCCTGGAGAAAGGGGTGAAAGGTCAGGAGAGCTGGGCCCATCAAGGGTGAATTCATAAACCGATCACAACTTTGGCTTTTCACAAGGCAGGCCTATGTAGGTGACATTAAAGAAATGACTTGACTTTATTGGCTATCACATTTTACATTACATTTTAGTCATTTAGCAGACGCTCTTATCCAGAGCGACTTACAGTTAGTGAGTACATACATATTTGTATTTATTTTTCATACTGGCCCCCCGCGGGAATCGAACCCACAACCCTGGCGTTGCAAACACCATGCTCTACCAACATCCCTGCCGGCCATTCCCTCCCCTACCCTGGACGACGCTGGGCCAATTGTGCGCCGCCCCATGGGTCTCCCGGTCACGGCCGGCTACGACAGAGCCTGGATTCGAACCAGGATCTCTAGTGGCACAGCTAGCACTGCGCCACTCGGGATCTCACAGTCTCACCTTTCTTGAACTCCTCCAGCATGGCGTCCAGTTTGGTGTCGTTGAAGACAAAGTGCAGAGGGTGGTTGTAGAACTTGGTGATAGTTGTCATGGGAGTACAGTCGTCAGGGTCGACCAGAGCCAGGTCTTTCACGTACAGTATCTCCACGATATTGGATCTGTGTAAATTACATTAGATACCTGTTAGTGCGTGTATGCATGTGTGAATCAGGGGAGAATGACTCCCAACCCCCCCCCCCCCCCCCCCCCCCTACCCTCATTCAAAACACAGAAGTTCAAGGCCGACCGCGATCCTGCAGGCGTTGTTAGCAGTAACAGGATCCCCCATTATAGTGAATAGAAAAATGGCGATCTTCGTGGTCAAGCATTATGTAAAAAAAAAAGTTTTATACCAGCGGTACCAATTATTGCTTATGATAGACCAGATGCATGACGCACCGATTATTTTAAAAATCGCACACAGAAGAAGTTATAAGGATAATTTAGTTGCTGCAGTAACCAGGTTGGCCTTCAACTTGAGTTACTGCAACGTCACTTCCTGGAGTAGCTCAAACTGCACATGTTATGTCTCCATGAGACGCCATCTTAACCGACTTCATTTTTCTTCAATGCACTATTGAGTCTTCACATAAGAATGAATGGTGTCACGTGATCGATGGCTTTGTCCGTTCATCTAACCAGTCATTGGTGTGTGTCCCTTCATGTGTGTGTCAGTGTGTGTGTGTGTGGTCCATCTGCCCACCTCTCCTCTTCGTAGATGGGGACACGTGTGTATCCACTCTGCATGATCTCTGACATGGTGGAGAAGTCCAGCACAGCGGTGGAAGACAGCATGAAACAGTCCTTGAGCGGAGTCAGGATGTCCTCCACCGTCTTACTGCGCAGCGCACCACGGCTAAACTCCTCCTTCACAAATTCACTGCAATGGAATCACAACAATGATGAGAATGGATGGATTACATGTATATCATATATAGCGCCTTCAAAAGAACTTTACAAATGCTCAAAAACCCTAGGCAGAGGAAGGATAACTACAGTGCTAGAGCCCTATGAGAGTACAAGCTTTTGTTACAGCCCAGCACTCACCAACATGATCAGGTTAATGCTAGGCTGGAACAAAAACCTGCACCTGTTGGCCACCCCATCCATAGAGCAGTGTGTGCCACCCATGAACACAACACAAATACACGGTCATCTGTATGTGTGTGTGTGTGTGTGTGTGTCAGGTACCTGTAGGGGTCGTTGACATTGGTGCGTATCATCTCCATGGCCCTCTCCCTCACGCCGCAGGTGCTGATGTCACGCCTCAGTGCTAGATCCAGCACCAGGCCCAGTGGGCACGACAGTGGGCACGTCAGCACCATACACACCTGGGAGTTAGAGAAAGGAGGAGCCTGTTAAATTATATTGTATTAAGAAAAACTATGATAAAGGGTGCTAGAAGCCACCCGTCCCACTAGATGCTAAAGGAAAATTAGGTTGTGTTCATTAGGGCAGTGGTTCTCAAACCTTTCCTCAGGGATCCCCAGACATTTCACAATTTTGTTGTAGCCCTGAAGTAGCTCACCTGAGTCACCTAGTCAAGGGTCGTGTTCCCCTGCTCAGACGTTGCACGCATCAACCAATGGTTGAGTGCCACGTCATCGACTGTGCCGTCGGGCACTAGATTGCTATAACATATGATGTGGTTAGCTGATAGAATACCTATCCAGGTGTTGTAAGATCCTGCATGTCTGAGCAGAGGAACACAACCCTTGCTTTTTAAAAACTTCTCCATACAGACCTGTGCCAGCCAGGTGAGGCCCGGGGCCAGCTGGAAGCCGTAGCCGGAACACACTATGTGTGGTACCAGCTCTGACACCAGGAAGATGAGGAACCCGCTGGTGAAGACTGCGGGCGCTATGGAACCCAGGGCCCGGTAGAGCAGCACACCTATAACCGAATGACCCAGAGCGCACAGGAAAAGCAGGGAACACACCTAGAACCAAGAGTGGAGCGATGTGGAGTTAGATAGTGTGGAGCCAGAGGGATGTCATACATCTGAATATTCTTGAGGGAAGTGCAGGGGTCTCCGGTCCTGGAGAGCTACTGGGTGGGTGTGTAGGCTTTTGTTCCAATCCAGACACGAACTGATTATCTGAAACAGGTGTGTTCGTGCTGGGATGGAACAAAAGCCTATATACCCGGAAGTATAGCTCTACAGGACTGGTGTAAATTGGAGACCCCCCAAATCCTGGTGTTTATTTGTGTGTGTGTGTGTGTGTGTGTGTGTTAGGGACCCACCAGGAAGTTGCCTCTTCTCCGGATGGGCTCGAGTCGCTTGGCGGCCCGTTTGTCCTCCTCAGAGCCGCAGCTGTGCAGGACATAGAGCTCCAGAGGGTCCAGCCACAGCAGGCTGAGGTTCACGCTCCTCAGCACCCCGCACACCAGGATCAGCAGCATGCTCAGCACCGCCACACCCCACGGAGGGATGTAGTCCGCCGGGAGACCTTTGTCGTTGTTGATCCGCAGCCTGTCCGGTCCCACTGACACCCAACTCCCGCTCTTCACGCACAGGTGGTAGGTCGGGTTGGAATCATCCCCTCCTCCCGTGGAGGATGCAGCGGGATACATGCTGCTCTTGTCCCGCACCTTTACCTCTATCAGCCCGCTGTACTCCTCGTCTGCCGTGAACTCCCCGGTAATCTGGAAGGCGGAGGTGTCACGGCGGGTCTCCTGCCCGCACGGGTCGGCTGCATCCCCCACCGCACCAGCCTCCCCACGTCTAACCCCAGCGAACGCCACCCACGGCCATGTCCCATTCAGATCCGAGCCGAACAACCGGAGCATGAAACTGGCCCCTTGCGGCGCAGAGATGATCCTCTCCTTCATATACACACGGCCTTCTGGGTCCTCCAGTCGCAACCCCAGAACTCGCGGGGCTTGCTGGCTGGAGGCGCCGTCCCCGATCCTCCCGCAGAGCAACAATATCATCAACAAGAACCGTAGGTCTGCCAAGCTGGCCACCATATTGGAATTGGGCAGCTGGGCTCTGCGCGAATCATGTGACTGCCTGCCCTCGCAGCTCCCCGCTGCGAGCCACACAGCGCTCAGAGAGAAACTGGTTCCCTTTTGACGCCATTTTGTGGAGAAAGTGCATTGGCTTAGTGTCATCCGCTGCTCTCGTTCGGAGCCGCAATGGACGCAGTTTCTTCGTAAACTTAACCCAGTTTCTCAGAAATTAACCAATGAGATTCCATGGCTGTTGACATCCAATGGGTGCAGGGAAAATGAGGATCGTGCCACGCCCATCTTTGTTTGGGAGTCTTGAAAACAAGTCAAAATTAAAGGGGATTCGTCAATATTCCTTGACGCATAATAGAGATGATTTAGGCAGCCTAATGACTATGTAACTATTGCAAATGCATTATTTAGTCATCCAGATTTGCCTGACTTTTTTTGTTTTCTTTCGTTTGATGTATATTGTTATCATCAGCTTTGTTCTGTGCAATGAAAACACAGATCTAGGATCAGTTTACCCTCCCTCCCTATATCCTAACCTCAACCATTTTGGGGAGGGCACACAACTTACTGCAGACCAGCGCCTAATAGGGACAGTCAACAAACTCTGTGCACAGACAGCTACCTCTGATACATAGCCATGTACTTTGGGATAAAATCACCACAAGAGAATCCTAAACAGTCACACACACTGGGTCAGTTAAAACATGGCTACTGATTAAGGATTCCTGTGAAGGATCTGTCACTGAGCCAAACTCTAGCTACCATGTAACCCAAATGAAAACACAGCATGGACACGCAGTGGAAGTTAAATTCCTATCTGCATCTACTGCACCTGCATACTTTGTTCCTAACAAACTGAACTAGATGACTTTGTGCTGTTGTGAAGTTATGCACCACAGAGCATTTTTGTTTACCTTTTGCTACTTAGCCTACTTTGTCACATACCTCTACTGTTTGCCAACAGTCACTAATCTTTGTGGACTACTGTTGACATTACAATTGTGGGAAATTCTTCATCCGTTTTGTACGTTTGACTCAACTATGTGGGAAAAACAGTGAACATAGACAGTTAAATAAAAAGAGACATGGTAGTTTATGTAGAGAAATATAACTCAGGTTTATTAACCCTATATCGACTTCTTCACAGCTCCATCCAAAGTCATTATTATAAAACAGTATGTACATATTGCTTTAAGTTAAACAACCCAGGGGTAAGATGGAGTTACAGGCATTTACTCTTCAATCAACATCCCCCTCTAAGAAAAGAAAATAACAGAAAGGAAGAAACATCTGAGTCTCTACCATGGAACTTACTGCTGATCAGTCACTAAACATGAAAGTCATAGGGTTTGGAGTGCTTGTTTTCCACAACTAACTTCATGTAATAAATAAATAATATAACCTTTAGAACTTGATCACTGACCAGCTTCTCGTGGAAGACTCTAGCAGAGAGAAAGAGATTGTGTGTGTACCTGGAGGCCAGACCCCTAGTCACTGTCAGACTGACAGTGTGTGTGTTTACATATGGGATTGACCCTGGAATAGTGTGCTTATCTCTGTCTGAGTAACCTGTATTAGACTGTAGTGTCTATAATCATTGAACTCATTCTAATTCAATGTACACAAAAAACATCCTTCTTGGAGGACAGTGTTCTATTCCATTGTGGGGGTTCTGGTTCCCAAGCACCCAGGCTAGCAGTATAATTTAATTTAATTTAAAAAAAATATATTTTTATTTTTTTGTCATTTAGCAGACGCTCTTATCCAGAGCAACTTACAGGAGCAATTAGGGTTAAGTGCCTTGCTCAAGGGCACATCGACAGATTTTTTCACCTAGTCGGCTCGGGGATTAGAACCAGCGACCTTTCGGTTACTGGCACAACGCTCTTACCCACTAAGCTACCTGCCGCCCTGTATGGCACTGGCCTGAACCCAGATCTGTTTGTGCCATCTTGCCAACTCCTGTATGGTCATCGACGTGACAATGGTCATATAGTAGTTGGCGGAGAGCCCAAACAGATCTGGGACCAGGCTAGTATGACACCCCTTTGTCTCCTCAGTCATCACTTCTACTATACACAGGTGAGTTAATCATCCACAGTGGAAAAGCTGTCCCTGGTCTGAGAATACAGCACCAGAAATCTTAAACCCTCCTCGCTTAGGTCGAATAATCACACTGGGGCTGAGCTAACAACACAGCAGAGCAGAGCCTGGCTGCCAGTTAAGCCTTGCCCTCCCGCCAGGAACCAACCACCAACTAGAAGGATCTGGACATTAAAAAGAGCTTATAGGACTGTTTAGACCAGCAGTCAAGGAATTTCAATATTACTTGAACGGCAGGAGAGGAGGAGAAGAAAGGGAAGGAGGGGAGAAGAGGGGGTGTGAGGGGAGAGAAGCTGGGGGAGAGGGTAAGGAAAGTAGCAGAGTAGGGAGGAAGAGAGGAGAGGAGAGGAAAGAAGAATGGGAAAGGAAAGGATATGAGGGAAAGGAGGAGTGCTAGTGAAGGGCAAGGTAATTCAGTCTGCCCAGACATAACATAAGCTAACAGCTACACTAACAGTGCTGCGACTTTGGTCATTCATGTCTAATGACAAATCATGGTCAGAATGCTACTACATGCTACAGAACGCTACTTCAACGGGAAAAAAATGAATTTGAGAGAAAGATAGAAATGTTCTTTGAGGTCAAAACAGAGCAATGTTTTTATTGCTCATTCAATATCTTCCTAGTAAAATGTCAGTTTAAGGAGATAAAAGTTGTTATCTCCGGTAAGTATTCTCACAGAGGCTACTTTATACATGTGTTCCATATAGGCATATACAGTAGTATTCACAGTAACATAGTACAAGCAGGAAATATATAACAAATCTCTTCCTTTGTCCCAGTAACCCGTTGACAGATGAAATTGCTTGTCAAAAATGAAAGCCCGTTTCACATGAGAGAACACAGAACAAAAAGAACAGAATATTATTACTTTTTAAATAAATACAACATTTCTAAGTAGTCGAACAACACTTTCATTATATGACCGTTCCCAGTACATACTAGGAGCCTCGCAGCCAACCAGTGGCTAGACTGGGAACTAACACAGTGATGTAACGGAACCAGTAAGACCCAATGCTATAAGGGACCTATGTGAACCAGCAGTCAGGTCTAGTGTTTCTGGGTGTAGTAGTGTGTAAGGCTGCACCCACCATAGACTTAGAAATCCTAGAATGGACGACCCCATTCAATACCCTGTACTGAGGGGCGTCAGTTCTATTAATTCCAATTCTAAGGAGCTGCTATACTCTTAAAATGCAGGTAGGAACTCTTCCCTGTGGAACAGATCTTACTGAAATGCTTTGGAATAAATACTCAGTTCTACCTCGTCGCTCTAAAGTGATTTACTTATAAATAAACTTGTATGCGTAAAAAAAACTATTCCCCAAAAATTGTTTTTCTTCATGTTGACCGTTGCTTGAGTTACTTAATTGTCACTTATAATATATTTCTGGGGATCAAGATAGGTAGGTGCTAACAGCATTATATGTCTGGTCTGCCCTCCATCCATAGCAAATGCACGGTGAGGGAAACACGTAGTAATCTCTAAGACAGCAACGCCTGGGCACAGTGCGTGTAACAGTTTCATTTATACACACAATAAATCCTACATCAGATTGAATCTGAAGGGTCAATTGTGGATCCCCTGTTTTGGAATGTCTTTTTAGAGTACATACAATGTAAATGGTAAGGGAACATTATGGTGGAGGTGGCGTGCCTTTTTTCAAGTCATTAGCAACAACCCCTCGCTGATTGTATTATCACACAGTAAAACTCTCAATTCTAAACTTAATTGTGACATCACAAATGGAACTTTGAACTCCATTGTGACATCACACACTAAAACTCTTAACTCAACTCCATTGTGGCATCACAAAGTGGAATTTTAACTCCATGGTGACATCACCCCTGAAAACAGTGAATTCTATATTCCATTGTGACATCACACAGTAACACTCAGAACTCTAAACTCCATTGTGACATCACACCAAAGCAGCCAATCATGTTAAACCACTGCAATAGTCCACTGCTTATTATGTGAAATGATACAAACAGGAAAATGAGCTAGCATTGTAGTGGAATTGAGCTCTGTTCACAAATAGGAAGTTGAGCTAGTATCATAGTGAAATTATACAATAATACAAACAGAAAGGGAATCTAGTATCATAGTTGAATTGAGCTCTGTTCAGTTAGGTGTGTATGAGACTTTGTAGGTTCTGGGGGAGTTGATTGCGGTACAGTAGCAAAGTCTCTGTTCAGGAGTGTCAGTGTCATCAGTCACAGTACATGGAGTTTTGAGTCTTCAACAAAATAAAAATAAAATCTATAGAATATAAAACATTGACATCAAATTAATCTCAAAATACATAAAGTAATCTGTAATGCAAAATAAATATATTTATATTTAAATAATTCATCATATAATATACGTCACATCTCTGGTCAGGAGGTGGGTTCATGGTAAAGAAACCCACCTGTCAGTCAATTAGCCAGCCAACTCCTTCCCTCCAGCAAGCCCACCCCCCCACCGCAGCCTGATAGGCCTGACAGGGTCAGGTGGTCAACCACTCCTAGGGCTGTTTCATTTCACAAACTTTCCGAAATGAGACGCAGCTCAGGAGGTTCACACACAAACCGCTACACTCCTGTCGAGCCCCTGTGTCAACAGTCCCCAAACTCAAGATTCACCATCTTTAACAATCCCCTTCGAATGTCATTGCCATGTAAACGGGGTATGTGGGAGGGCGAGTGGGACAGGAAGTGTTTTAGAGAGAACACAGGTGCATGTAGGTGAGGGTTCACAGTGAACACTAAGCTAAAATGCATTAATCTCTAAATATCGGTATATTTCTCTTTAAAAAAAATTTGCTGTCACTACAGGTCATTTTCCTATATGTATTTATACCCAAAACCTAAGTGCAGAGAATTAACACATATTATAAACATGCTATACGTGGTGGTGTATCTCCCCCGTCCTCCTCATCAACAAAGCTGATCCCAGGCTGTGCCTGCAGCCACCGTAAAACGAACAAACACACGTTGTATCCACACGCACACATACACACACCGTATGACAGAGACGAGACCATCACACACACGGACCTCTGCACAAGTGTGTAATGCACCAGTGTTCCCCGTCTCTCTCTTCTCCCCATCTTGAGAGGTAGGTGGGCGGATAGAAGGAGGACAGAGACATGAGGATTCCCACAATGCACTTTACTCCTTAGAATCTTCCAGTGCTCCAGGGGTAGTGTCAGTCCACGGCCAACAAAACTTGAGCGTGTGTGTATGTGTATTGATTTTTTACTAATCTTAACAAACCCCCCCCCCCCCGCAGGGGTTGTTGTCAGATGGTGCTCTCTGTGTGTGCGTGACTGATGGTGTGCACCTGTATGTGCGGGTGTTGGTGTGTGTGAGGGTGTTGTGTGTGTGTTTGTGGGTAACTGGGCCTGCGTGTGCCACCTAGGCAGTTTTGCAGCTGCTCAGAGAGCAGAGAGGTTTTCTCACCCGGCCCGTTCTCCCCCCCTGGCCTCGCGGAAGAGGGGGATTTGGGGGGGAGAGAGGTAGAGGGAGGAGGTGGGTGGGGGAGAGAGGAGGTGGAGGGAGGAGGCGGGTGAGTGGTGCGTGCACCCGAGGAGGGGGGAGGAGGTGTTTGAGGAAGAGGGGTGCCTTTGGTGGGAGGAGGGGTGGATTGGGGCAGGGCCGGGCGGGGGTTGACTTGGGTGGGGGTGGTGGTTTGGGGTAAGGGGGTACGGTTGGTGGGAGGGGGGGTGGGCTGGGTAAGGGCAAGGGGGCGCTTGAAAGGTGTGGTGGCCAGAGGGAGGGGGGTGCGGGGAGGGGCTGGTGGGGTGATGGGGGGTGGGAGAGCAGAGGTGCTGTCCAGACGGGGGTGGCTGCCTTCGGGGGACTGGGGGGTGCTGTCCAGCCTCGACGCCAGCAGACCGTTCTGGTACTGGGAACGTGTGATCTGAGGAGAGGAAAGAGACAGTGTTAGGATGAGAAAGAAGAGGCAGAACAAGTATATGAGAGAGAGAGCAAAGCGTGCTTTCAGAGAGTATGGCGTCATGGTATAAGAGGTAATAAACAGCCAATCATCACAGGGACAACACAGGGTGCACTGGCCATCAGAGATGTAGTTTTGGCAAAATAGGTGGGAAAATTCTGATCGCCATTCGCTCCCTATACTTTGAAGGCGTTCTTCCTCGAAAGGTGGGTAAACGCTCTCGCAAAATAAAAAGGTGCATAAACAGCGTTTATGTGTGCTTACCCTCCACTACACTGCTGGCCATTCAGTTGGGCTGGTAAAAAGTTTCTCAGCAGAGCTGAATAGTGGGCTGACATTTCTGGGCTCATTTCAGAAATATTTCAGGTCACATTTCATTACATGGGTTAGTCTTAGATGATGGTAAACAAAATTTGGCGGCTGGCGGCGTCACTCTGCGAGAGAGTTTGTCACATTAACGACTTACAATTTTTGCAGCGCAGGCATCTGTAAAGTAACTTTTTAACCAGCACAATTGTAGAAATAGCGGCTTTCCCATTGTAGTTTTTCCCATTTCTATGGCACTGGCAGGGGTTAGAGGTTAAAAGTGAGTGTGTTACCTTGACATACTGCAGGTCAGTGAGAGCCCGTACGTAGAAGTCTGGTGTGTACTGGCAGGTGGTGAGCTGCATGTTGCTAGCGGTTACAGAGCCGCATTCTCCGGAAGCGCTGCGCTCAGTGCAGCTTAGCGACGCCGAGCGGTTCAGACTACTCCCGTGAGTAGGAGAACGGAACTCTGAGATACGGAAAGGTAGAGAGCGGGTGAGCTGGGGATAACCCATACACACACACACAAAGTACACAAACACGCACATTCCCACGGGCGCACACAACCACATTTGCATGCATGCACACAAGCACGCACACACAGTACATAAACACACACATGCACACTCAGAACAGTGAATTACAGAGAAATCAACATGAAAGAGAATGAGATTCTCTATTGATGGGATAGAGACAGTAGGAGGATATGATTGTAGTGAGAGCAGCTAGAGCAATACAAACAGTATATGGCATGGCTGACAGCAACGACTCAGAGACATATTAAGTTAGTGAAAAACACCACAGTATGGTATAGATCACTAGATGGATACTGGAGGTTAGTGAAAACACAAAACGCCATGAAAAAGTGAACAAATAACATTTTGATACTTATTTCATTTACTTCATAAACAAAGTTACGCAACACCCAATGCCCCTGTGTGAAGAAGCAATTGCTCCCTTACAGAGAATTCTACAGGAGAATGTCAGGCACTCTGTCCATGAGCTGAAGCAGAGCTGGGTCATGCAGCAAGACAATGATCCAAAACACACAAGCAAGTATACACCAGAATGGCTGAAAAGCAAGAATTTTTTTGTTTTGGAATGGCCTAGTCAAAGTCCAGACCTAAACCTGATTGAGAAGTTGTGGCAGGACCTGAAACAAGCAGTTCATCCTCGAAAACCGACAAATGTCGCTGAGTTAAAGCAGTTCTGCATGGGAGAGGGGGCAAAAATTCCTCCATAGCTATGTGAGAGACTACTGGAAGCGTTTGGTGGCAGCCACTGTAGATAAAGGTGGCACAACCAGTTCACGAGTGTAAGGGTGCAAATACACAGGGGCATTGGGTGCTGCATAAGTTTGTTTATTAAAGAAATGAAATAAGTATCACCATTTTGTGTTATTTGTTCACTCAGGTTCCCTTTATCTAATATTAGGTTTTGGTTGAAGATCTGATAACAATCAGTGTTAAATATATGCAAAAATAGAGAATGTCTGAAAGGGGTCAATACCTTTTCACATTGTACACACAGCAATGCAAATGCATACACACACAGCATCACACAGAGCAACAAGTATATGCACAACACAGCAACACAAACGTATGCACACCCAAAGATGCAGGTTCAGTATGATTGGTGATTACAGAGGAGGATGGGGTTATATGATGATTACAGTGAGGGAAAAAAGTATTTGATCCCCTGCTGATTTTGTACGTTTGCCCACTGACAAAGAAATGATCAGTCTATAATTTTAATGGTAATGGACAGAACAACAACAACAAAATCCAGAAAAACACATGTCAAAAATGTTATAAATTGATTTGCATTTTAATGAGGGAAATAAGTATTTCACCCCCTCTCAAATCAGAAAGATTTCTGGCTCCCAGGTGTCTTTTATGCAGGTAACGAGCTGAGATTAATCTCAGCTTGTTACCTGTATAAAAGACACCTGTCCACAGAAGCATACAATCAATCAGATTCCAAACTCTCCACCATGGCCAAGACCAAAGAGCTCTCCAAGGATGTCAGGGACAAGATTGTAGACCTACACAAGGCTGGAATGGGCTACAAGACCATCGCCAAGCAGCTTGGTGAGAAGGTGACAACAGTTGGCGCGATTATTCGCAAATGGAAGAAACACAAAATAACTGTCAATCTCCCTCGGCCTGGGGCTCCATGCAAGATCTCACCTCGTGGAGTTGCAATGATCCTGAGAACGGTGAGGAATCAGCCCAGAACTACATGGGAGGATCTTGTCAATGATGTCAAGGCAGCTGGGACCATAGTCACCAAGAAAACAATTGGTACCACACTACGCCGGGAAGGACTGAAATCCTGCAGTGCCCGCAAGGTCCCCCTGCTCAAGAAAGCACATATACAGGACCGTCTGAAGTTTGCCAATGAACATCTGAATGATTCAGAGGAGAACTGGGTGAAAGTGTTGTGGTCAGATGAGACCAGAATCGAGCTCTTTGCCATCAACTCAACTCGCCGTGTTTGGAGGAGGAGGAATGCTGCCTATGACCCCAAGAACACCATCCCCACCATCAAACATGGAGGTGGAAACATTATTCTTTGGGGGTGTTTTTCTGCTAAGGGGACAGGAGTACTTCACCGCATCAAAGGGACGATGGACGGGGCCATGTACCGTCAAATCTTGGTTGAGAACCTCCTTCAGCCAGGGCATTGAAAATGGGTCGTGGATGGGTATTCCAGCATGACAATGACCCAAAACACACGGCCAAGGCAACAAAGGAGTGGCTCAAGAAGAAGCACATTAAGGTCCTGGAGTGGCCTAGCCAGTCTCCAGACCTTAATCCCATAGAAAATCTGTGGAGGGAGCTGAAGGTTCGAGTTGCCAAACATCAGCCTCGAAACCTTAATGACTTGGAGAAGATCTGCAAAGAGGAGTGGGACAAAATCCCTCCGGAGATGTGTGCAAACCTGGTGGCCAACTACAAGAAACATCTGACCTCTGTGATTGCCAACAAGGGTTTTGCCACCAAGTACTAAGTAATGTTTTGCAGAGGGGTGAAATACTTATTTCCCTCGCTAAAATGCAAATCAATTCATAACATCAGCAGGGGATCAAATACTTTTTTCCCTCACTGTATATGCTGGGAGGGAGTGATTATATCAGGTGCCAGGCTTCCCCATATCACATCAAGGATAGGATAGGGGGTGATGGGGACCAATCAACAGCCAGGATCAGGAGAAATGGCATTATGGCAACCAATCAACAGCCTTGATCAAGAGCGATGGTTCTGTGCTTAACCGAGTCACCTGTGGGCGTTTGGTGTTCCTGAGCATTCACCGTGGCTCGCCAGGCCTGCCATGCAAATGAGGCTCTGATTGGCATGGGGGGAGGTGGGGTCGTAATTGTGTGTGTGAGTTTGTGGTTGGGTAAGTTGGGGTTAAGGAGTGTGTAGTGAGTGAGGCATGCCCAGTTCCAATTTCGACCCCTAGCTCGTTCCTTCTAGGCACACATCTAAAAACATTGGATAGGTATTGGCAAGATGGTACTAGTATCACCTTGTCTTTTGGTAGGCTGGGTTGAACTGTCATCATATTGCCTATATCTAGATGCTCTTTTCAGATCTAGTGCCTAGGGGAAGGGGTTAGGGAACTATTTGGTATAGGAAGTAGTGAGTGGGTCAGAAGTAGTTTGGTGATTTATGTGAAGTGAGTGAGTAGTGACCATAGAACTCTAATTCTATGCTAGTGACAGGATCAGGTAGTCGCACGAGGTAGAAGATGCCTTTAACCACAGACCTAGTATCAGATTACCCAAAATGTAACCAATGGGGTAATAAGGAAACATCTGACCCTGGACCAGTGGTTAGGGCAACTAGGTAGTAGGGGTCAGGGGTTAAAGGTCAGAGATGAGAGGTAGTGCCTCCACCTAGAGTGGCTCCACCTAGAGCCCCATCCAGCAAGTTTCTTCCTTCCTCCTCTATTCCCCCTCTTCCTCAATCTGTACTGTGTAGTCCAGCTCTGCCAAAGGTCTGAAGAAATTGGAAAAATGTCAAGTCCCTGACCCTGCTGCAATATGACGATAATGCATCCTTCCTTCCTTTCCTTCCATCCTTCCATGTCACTGATTGGTGAAAGCAGTACTGAGGAAACCAGATCAGTGAGTATTCCAAGGAAGAGACCAAGGAAGGAAGGAAAGGAAGCAAGAAAGGAAAGATGCATAATATGCATTTAACCCCAACTTAACCCTTACCTTATAGGAACAGTGCCTGTCAAACTGAGTGACGTTGTCCCAGGCTGCTCTGCCCTGTCCTGTCCTGCTGACTGAGGACAAACCCACTGATGTGACCTGATGTTGCATACAATCTGTCAAAAGCACATAGGGCTCAGCTGTCATCATCAGCAGTTATCGGCCAAGTAAGAACTGCAGTTAGAACACCACACCACCTCAGTCAGTCACTAAGAGAGAGACCACTGCAGAGGACCGGCATGTCCACCAAACTATTATTCATTCAATACCATCCTACTCCACCAGAGGGTATAGTGGAGCGTAAATTAAATAGTATTTACGCAAATATTATGCTAACATTACGTTATTAGCTAGCATTAGCGCAGCTGACTGTCATCTCGTGCGGCATTCAACGTTTAACCATTACAGTCCTGTAACGTTAACTGAAACAATAATGAGCGCAGTATTCAGTCTGGTTTAACCGGGTTACTGTGATTCGGCTATCGAGCACTGGAGGAGAGCGTTAGTTAGAACAGGGTTTCCCAAGCTGATTCAAATCATCAAAGCTTGATGATGAGTTGGTTATTTGAATCAGCTGTGTAGTGCTAGGGCAAAAACCAAAACGTGCATCCAGGGGGGGCCTCAGGACCGAGTTTGGGAAACCCTGCTATAACTAACACTCTCCTCCAGAGCTCGATAGCCGACTCACAGTAGGACCTGAATAGATTACTAAGGCTTTGCACCCCTTGGTTTCCAGAGGGAATAAAACAAACACAGAATGAGAGAAGGATAAGATCTTGGGAGTTAAGAGCAAAATGTTTTCGTATTTTATTCTACTTCTAAGAAAACCAGGTAAGTCAAACACTTGGTATAACTGTAAAGTATTGATATTCTAGTGGATCTCTAGGCTGTCTGTCTATCAGGTTGTACTTGCTGGAGCAGGGCTCTAAAGAAGAGGATGGCAGGGAAATTAAAACGGTGATCATGGCAGAAAACCCCCTCCCTCCCTCATGTTACCCTTCCCTCAGGGTGGTTGGTTCTTTACCTGGGAAGCGAGAGAACAGAGAGAATCTCTTTAAAGAGAGACGTCGTGGAGTGGGGGGACGCCACTGAGGGGGAGAGAGGGGGAGTGACGGCTGAGCGAGGGGTGGGAGAAGGGGAGAGAGAGAGAGAGAGAGACACTCTCGTTTAATCATCGAACAGCACTGTAGGGTGCCCTGTGACCTGAAGACACACCTTTCTCCTTCAAAGAGCACTTTGACATTATCACCTGAATACATCATTTAATGAACCATACACTGAGGCTGCGTCCAAAATGGCACTCTATTCCCTATTATAGTGCACTACTTTTGGCCAGGATTAGCCACATATGGCTATGGCATAAAGTAGTGCACTACATAGGGGATAGAATGCAATTTCAGATTTGCCCCGGGTGACTCGTCATTTTCACAGGTCAACGAAGGCCTGCTGTCAGATTGGAAGAGGCAGATTGACCAATGGGAGGGGCGTAGCTGAGTGACATCAGACGCTGACATGAGTTGGACACAGTTTGACACATGTAGGCAGTAGTACAGTACACGTCATATAGCGCATGCGCACACACATTACATTGATGCTGCGCACACAAAGCACAGAGAAGACTATCACAGAGAGAGAGATGGAGAGAAAGAGAGAGTTGGAGGTGGAGAGAGAGAGAGAGAGAGAGAGAGAGAGAGAAAAGAGAAGAGAACCAGTTGTCATGTAACTGTAATCTCAGGATTTAACATTTAAAGGCTTTTGACAACCAGAACCTACTCTGCTAATGCCTGCATGTGTAGCACCATCTACAGGAGTATTACACTACTGACAGCATATCTCCATCCATTTCTATGACTTACAGCATCTCTGCATTGATTATACTGCAATATCTTTCAGAGCAGCTATGGCTGCTGGTCATACTGGTATCTGGCCACTAGGTGTCATCAGTGTTTCTAAAGCATCTGGCCTCAGCAATCCATTTCTCTCCTATCTAAACTCCTAGAGCTAAAGTGTCCTGACCTGGGACTAAACACTGCTCTCTGTATCAGAATGTGTGTGTGACACCCATTAGGATCCGACACTACCCATGGTTGGCATCACAGTTCCAGCACTGTGGCATCATCACCCTCCTGCCAACTAAGCTCTTTCAGATATGCACACACCCCCGTCATTGGCACTGGCACAGACACAGACACACACACACACACACACACACACATTCTCCTTTATAGGTGACACTAGGGCTGTGGCGGTCACGGAATTTCGTCAGCCGGTGAATGTCAAGCAAATAACTGTCGGTCTCACGGTAACTGACTGTAAATTAACAAACACATTTAGCATCTCCTGGCTTCCACACATGCCTACAAGCCACTGATGCAGACCTTTGGAACATCTACATAAATCCATGTAATAAAGCCTACACCTTCACAATAAATCCATGATTTATTTTAGACAGGTCTAAAGAAACATGATATGAAGAAAATTTATTCTATTTCAGAAGAACAGAATAGCATACTCTGAGTTATCCTTATGTTAGGCCCTGATCTGGCTATGCCATGTGGCTGTGGGCTACACTAGTTCATTTAGCAGACAAGATTTGCTTAGAATTCCGTGGCATTATTTTATAGTATGAAGAATACAATTGAACAAAGCTGAATAAAACAGAAAGGATATTTTCTACTAACAATTTGAGGGAGTGCGCACACGCGGCTATTCTGTGTTGAGAGGTTAACAAAGAAATAGGTACTCCTATATGCTTAATTTAGAGTTATTAATGTAACTTTAGTTGTTCTACAAATGTTGGGCTGTATGTTTTGAATTTTAATACATTGTAAGTCTACATGATGCGACTAATGATGATTTGAAAAAAGTCGCTTGAAAGGCATGAGCTTTGCTTAGTTTTTTGCGCAGGCTGTACACACTTCATCAGTCTCTCATTCACAAGAACATCCCCTTTGTGTGGCCGCAATGGACCATAATAAAATACATGCCTTTTGTGGCCAGTGGCCGTTGTGTCCTTGGTCCTGAGTGCTGCGTACTCTGAAGCACCTCTCACTCACATGGCTCTCCATCACGTGATCGGGTCTTTCTCACAGGCTACAAGTGAAGACAGACACATCGGGGACGCAACTGCGCGTGTCCTTATCCAATTCCGAGGCGCATATTGAAGATGTTGGAAGAAATGTCCACATTTACTATTCGTCAGCCAACAAGATGAGTAGGCATTACTAACAGCAAAAGCACTAGCCTATGTCAATCTACTATCCCCCATAGTACAAAAGTTGACCTATTCTGTGCGAGAAATAAATATTCCAAACATAGCCTGGACAGTTGTGGGATGCGATAGATCCCAAATTATTACAACCACTAGTGTCAAAAAAAACTGTTTTAAGCAATGAGGCTGACGCAACAGATCAGAATGTTTAGCTTAAAATGTTGATAAACTATTAGGCTATTTCTTCACATTATAAGCGCAGATACGTGCACACGGCAGTAGGCTATAAGCGCGAATGTTACATTAGCGGGAAAACACCATTATCAAAAGTGACCGCAAATGCGATTATGCATGTTTCGCTTTTATTATAAAAGGTGCATTTTAATGGTGAAAATGATCTTCCCCAAACTTGAAACTCACGCGCTGCTTATGTACACCAGTTAGGCTCTACACCCCTTGTAAAGTGGATTAATGTGCTTAATTTAAGAAGTTATTTGGCCACTTTAGTTGTGATACAAACCTTATCAAAAACATATAGGCCTATGAGCTAAGCTACATGAGGTGTGATTCGAAAAAGTCACAAAAAAAGGCATTGTTTCTTGCCTTACACTTGGCATCATTCACAAGTGATAATATATAATTCACAAGTGATAGGCTAACATTGTCACCCATCAGACTATTCTTGATTTAATCTTGTCTTTACATACAGTGCCTTGCAAAAGTATTCATCCCCCTTGGCGTTTTTCCTATTTTGTTGCATTACAACCTGTAATTTAAATGGATTTTTATTTTTATTTCATGTTATGGACATACACAAAATAGTCCAAATTGGTGAAGTGAAAAAAATAACTTGTTTCAAAAAAATGCAAAAAAATAAATAACGGAAAAGTGGTGCATGCATATGTATTCACCCCCTTTGCTATGAAGCCCCTAAATAAGATCTGGTGTAACCAATTACCTTCAGAAGTCACATAATTAGTTAAATAAAGTCCACCTGTGTGCAATTTAAGTGTCACATGATCTGTCACATGATCTCAGTATATATACACCTGTTCTGAAAGTCCCCAGAGTCTGCAACACCACTAAGCAAGGGGCACCACCAAGCAAGCGGCACCATGAAGACCAAGGAGCTCTCCAAACAGGTCAGGGACAAAGTTGTGGAGAAGTACAGATCAGGGTTGGGTTATAAAAAAATATCTGAAACTTTGAACATCCCACGGAGCACCATTAAATCCATTATTAACAAATGGTAATAATATGGCACCACAACAAACCTGCCAAGAGAGGGCCGCCCACCAAAACTCACGGACCAGGCAAGGAGGGCATTAATCAGAGAGGCAACAAAGAGACCAAAGATAACCCTGAAGGAGCTGCAAAGCTCCACAGCGGAGATTGGAGTATCTGTCCATAGGACCACTTTAAGCCGTACACTCCACAGAGCTGGGCTTTACGGAAGAGTGGCCAGAAAAAAGCCATTGCTTTAAGAAAAAAATAAGCAAACACGTTTGGTGCTCGCCAAAAGGCATGTGTGAGACTCCCCAAACATATCGAAGAAGGTACTCCGGGCAGATGAGACTAAAATTGAGCTTTTTGGCCATAAAGGAAAACGCTGTCTGGCGCAAACCCAACACCTCTCATGACCCAGAGAACACCATCCCCACAGTGAAGCATGGTGGTGGCAGCATCATGCTGTGGTGATGTTTTTCATCGGCGGGGACTGGGAAACTGGTCAAAATTGAAGGAATGATGGATGGTGCTAAATAGAGGGAAATTCTTGAGGGAAACCTGTTTCAGTCTTCCAGAGATTTGAGACTGGGACAGAGGTTCACCTTCCAGCAGGACAATGACCCTAAGCATACTGCTAAAGCAACACTCGAGTGGCTTAAGGGGAAACATTTAAATGTCTTGGAATGGCCTAGTCAAAGCCCAGATCTCAATCCAATTGAGAAACTGTGGTATGACTTAAAGATTGCTGTACACCAGCGGAACCCATCCAACTTGGAAGGAGCTGGAGCAGTTTTGCCTTGAAGAATGGGCAAAAATCCCAGTGGCTAGATGTGCCAAGCTTATAGAGACATACCCCAAGAGACATGCAGCAGTAATTGCTGCAAAAGGTGGCTCTACAAAGTATTGACTTTGGGGGGGTGAATAGTTATGCATGCTCAAGTTCTGTTTTTTTGTCTTATTTCTTGTTTGTTTCACAATAAAAAATATTTTGCATCTTCAAAGTGGTAGGCATGTTGTGTAAATCAAATGATACAAACCTCCCAAAAATCAATTTTAATTCCAGGTTGTAAGGCAACAAAATTGGAAAAATGCCAAGGGGGGTGAATACTTCCGCAAGCCACTAAATAATATATGTGTGAAATTTGTTTTGATTTAGTATGGACCATAATCATGCACCTGTCTTGAAACAAGGGCAGGGGAAAAAATACATGTCATCTATGCACTTAAAATTGCGAATGGAGGATGCTTTTCCCTTGGTTCATTTTCATGCCAGCCAGGTAAGCTATACTCCTGTTTTAAAGATAAGCAATGTGCTTAATATTAGGAAAGTTGAGAAATAAATATAGTAGGCCTAGTCTATAGAAAGCTGATGGGATCCTACTCTTTTTAAGAGGCCATCACTCTGTTTTCTCACGCAATTGCATAGCCTATAGAAATGTTGCGCAACATGATCTCATGGGCTCTCATGAAGTGTTTGATAAGATTTTCGATTACGTTTGCATTGATGTCAGAGTGATTAGAGGGACAATAGATTGCTGAGTACCAGGCAGTTAGCAAGTTTGGTAGGCTACTAATGACCATCAGCAGCATCAGAGCTTGGAGAAGCCTAGTTACCATGACTAAACGGTCACGTGGAATTTGACTGCCTTCATGACTCGTGACCGCCGGTGTGGCGGTAATACGGTCACCGCAACAGCCCTAGGTAACACTGGTGTGCGTTTCTTACCTGTTTACTACATCAGCTGTGGATCACATTTCTGTCTGTTGGATCTCCTAAAACCTAAGTGATTACACACACACACACACACACACACACACACACACTCACCTACGTGTGAGCTTTGCCAACACACACACCTCATTGTGAGCTGTGCACAGTGCTAGTAGGAGCAGTTACCCTATCCCCTCTGGTGTGTGTGTGTGTGTGTGTGTTTGAGTTGAGCATTTCTGGATGTTGGTCAATGAAGCTGGTGTTTTAGGAATAAAACTGAACCATACTGGGAAAATGTAAGGCTCGAAATGCTAAAGACTAGAAACACTGTCTGACTGAAACAAGTTTAGACAGAAAGAGAGGCAAGCGCGCAGAGAGTTATCACATTGTTTGTGTTTCTGCAAGTGTGTATGAGAGAGAAGGGGGGAGAAAGAGAGAAAAGGGGGAGAGAGAGAGAGGCTGTGTGTATCTCTGTGCCAATGTTTATGTGCATTGCTTGTGTCTGTGGTCTAATCATATATACATTACGTGTGTGTGTGCTCACCCAGTGACGGAGAGCTAAGAGCCATGACGCCGTAGTAGGAGAAGGGTCCTGTCTCAAACTTCATGTTCTCGTTTCCAGCCTCCACCTCCACTCGCCCCTGAGGAGCACACAGGAAGAGCATCAAAGCAGTGACCAGTGACTTGCAGGTGCTGGGAAGAAAAAGTAAACCAATGAAATAAAGATAGATACCCGCACACTGATGAGTAGTTTGCACAATAAAACTGCGAGAGCATTCATCAGTGTGCAGGTCTCTACCTTTATTTCATATACATTAACACACACACACACAGATCTCAGTTGGACAAAGTGAACATACAAGATGCAGCGTTTCTACTATGTTTCTACATTCAACTTTTTAAAGTATGCTGTGTTAGCATTGATCTATCCACAAAGGGCCGAATCCTAACTCCATTGACATCAATACATGATTTATGCAGTCGTCAAGTTAAGCCTGAAAATCTGAAGACAGGATTTCTGACCAGGATTATTATAACATGATAATTATTTATTATTATGATTCTATTTCTACTGCTAGAGTGATGTCTGATCTATCTGCTATGATTCTATGACTGAGTCCTCCTACCAAGGTAAAAGAAAACCCTGGCAGTCTCATCAATATTATATCACAGTGCAGGTGTGCATGCTGAGGTTCCAGTGTCACACACACACACACACACACACACACACACACACACACACACACACACACACACACACACAGTCTAATGCCAATGTGCCCTGGCAAAACACATCCCAATGACCCCCAACAGATGACACACACACAACCGCGCACGCACACCATCCTGAATGGTGAAACCAAAGTAACTGTGCTCATGTTGCTGTACCTGTATCTGCACTGTGTCAGCTTGGGGGTCAACAACAAAGGCACAGAAAATAATCCGTTTTTTTTACACGGTCGGGCTTCGACTCATGGTATCATATACAGTGAGGGAAAAAAGTATTTGATCCCCTGCTGATTTTGTACGTTTGCCCACTGACAAAGACATGATCAGTTTATAATTTTAATGGTAGGTTTATTTGAACAGTGAGAGACAGAATAACAACAAACAAATCCAGAAAAACGCATGTCAAAAATGTTATGAATTGATTTACATGATTGTTTGATTGCTTCTGTGGACAGGTGTCTTTTATACAGGTAACGAGCTGAGATTAGGAGCACACTCTTAAAAGGGAGTGCTCCTAATCTCTGCTTGTTACCTGTATAAAAGACACCTGTCCACAGAAGCAATCAAACAATCAGATTCCAAACTCTCCACCATGGCCAAGACCAAAGAGCTCTCCAAGGATGTCAGGGACAAGATTGTAGACCTACACACAGCTGGAATGGGCTACAAGACCATCGCCAAGCAGCTTGGTGGGAAGGTGACAACAGTTGGTGCGATTATTTGCAAATGGAAGAAACACAAAATAACTGTCAATCTCCCTCGGCCTGGGGCTCCATGCATGATCTCACCTCGTGAAGTTGCAATGATCATGAGAACGGTGAGGAATCAGCCCAGAACTACACGGGAGGATCTTGTCAATGATCTCAAGGCAGCTGGGACCATAATCACCAAGAAAAAATTGGTAACACACTACGCCGTGAAAGACTGAAATCCTGCAGTGCCCGCAAGGTCCCCCTGCTCAAGAAAGCACATATACAGGCCCGTCTGAAGTTTGCCAATGAACATCTGAATGATTCAGAGGAGAACTGGGTGAGAGTGTTGTGGTCAGATGAGACCAGAATCGAGCTCTTTGGCATCAACTCAACTCGCTGTGTTTAGAGGAGGAGGAATGCTGCCTATGACCCCAAGAACACCATCCCCACCGTCAAACATGGAGGTGGAAACATTATGCTTTGGGGGTGTTTTTCTGCTAAGGGGACAGGACAACTTCACCGCATCAAAGGGACGAAGGACGGGGCCATGTACCGTCAAATCTAGGTTGAGAACCTCCTTCCCTCAGCCAGGGCATTGAAAATGGGTCGTGGATGGGTATTCCAGCATGACAATAACCCAAAACACACGGCCAAGGCAACAAAGGAGTGGCTCAAGAAGAAGCACATTAAGGTCCTGGAGTGGCCTAGCCAGTCTCCAGACCTTAATCCCATAGAAAATCTGTGGAGGGAGCTGAAGGTTCGAGTTGCCAAACGTCAGCCTCGAAACCTTAATGACTTGGAGAAGATCTGCAAAGAGGAGTGGGACAAAATCCCTCCTGAGATGTGTGCAAACCTGGTGGACAACTACAAGAAATGTCTGACCTCTGTGATTGCCAACAAGGGTTTTGCACCAAGTACTAAGTCATGTTTTGCAGAGGGGTCAAATACTAATTTCCCTCTTTAAAATGCAAATCAATTCATAACATTTTTGACATGCATTTTTCTGGATTTTTGTTGTTGTTATTCTGTCTCTCACTGTTCAAATAAACCTACCATTAAATGTATAGACTGATCATGTCTTTGTCAGTGGGCAAACTTACAAAATAAGCAGGGGATCAAATACTTTGTATAAAAAAAATATCTCTGCTGCATGCAAAATGTGAAGAATTGCAGGAAATTAGCTTTAAAACTACAAAATGTTCTCTCTGCCAACAAGAGAGGTGTGAACAGTTTGAGGTCGCATGGGTTGCGAGGTGGAGGTTTGTTACTACGCCGATAAATTACATTATCCATCCGGACCTTTGCCACCTAGGAAATGTGTGTGACAGGACCTTCTCAAATACTTCAGATTCAGGTCAACTTTATTATCCCATGTGCTTAAAAAGACGGTACATAAACATGAAAACCACAGAAACCACACAACAGAATTCATTAAAAGTGCCAAAGCTACACATTTAAAGTGAAAGTGTAATATGCTATACACTCGAGGGACCAACAGACTATCTATTATACAACCTAATGGCTGTTGGAATAAAAGAGTCCCCATATCTATCTGTTGTAATTGTATTTTTAAGAAGTCTCTTTCCCCTTGTCCGGCTGCCGATGTGAAGGGGATCTTTCCTGTAAAATGCTTTCAAGTTTTAGGAGGTTTGTGTACTGATGGCTGATTCTTGATCTATACCAATTATCCTTGCCGCCGTCTTAATCAAGCGCTGAAGCTTGATTTGGTCTTGCACTCACATGTTTCCAAACACGCATATCAGACCAAAGGACAGCACACTCTGCAGGACAGATTTATAGAACATTTTTAAGATATGGTGGTGGACATTAAAATGGTTCAGTTTTTGTAAAGAAAACATTCTCTGTTGCAATGTCTTTATCTTTGCAAAGGCAGTCATTGAATTTCAGTTTATTGTCTATTTCGATTACCAGGTATTTATATGTGGTCACTCAATCGACTGATTCCCCATTGATCTTCGTAGGGGGTAGGGGAGTTTTGCTCCTTCCGAAATCAATTTCCATCTCTTTTGTTTTCTTAAAATGTATTTCAAGTTATCTGCGCACCACAGGACGAATTTTGTCGTTTCTCTGTGAAACCTTGAAGAGAGGCTTGGTCTGGGTGAGGAAAACCCACAACAGTGATGTCATCTGCATATTTAAAGAAATTGTGGGCTGAATCGAAGGCTTGACAATCGTTTGTGTACAGTGTGTACAGTATCAGTGAAAGTATGCAACCTTGACGGGATCCCGTATTCACCGTTCCAGATTTAGAGATGACAGTGTTCAACTTCACTTGTTGAGTACGGTTCACAAGGAAACTATTAATCCACTCGATCAGTAGAGAGTTGACACCCAAATTCACCAGCTTGTCCACCAGTAGGTGGGTTTGGATGGTTTTAAACGCGTCACTGAAGTCAATGAACACAATTTTCACTAGGCTATTTGCCTTTTCTAAACGTTTGTAGATATTGTTCAGCATGACCAGTAACGCATCATCAACACCCCTGGAGGCACGGTAGGCGAATTGGTTTGGATCTAATTGGGATGGGAGACCAGAGAGAATTTGTTTTTGAATTTGTTTTTCCAAACATTTCATAGGTACAGATCTTTTTGTTCTTTTCTTTTGGCCTGTTGTTTTTAGGTACTGGGACAATCAGCAGACTTCTTCCATAAGTCTGGAATTCTCCCACAGTTCAGTGACAGCTGGGACAGCTTCTGGAACGGTAATGCGAGCTGGTCTGCACATGCCTGAAGTGCCTTGCTGCTGATGCCGCCTGGACCATATGATTTTCGTGGGTTGACACATTGAAAGTATTGCTTGACGTCATTCAGAGAGATCTGTATATCAACAGCTGGTATGCTGTCTGTACAGTCCAAGGCCACTTTCTGCTGCGAAGTAAAATCACACGTCAAACCTATAATAGAAACTTTTCAAATTTTCGACGGTCATACAATGTCTCATTGGTTTGTAGCCTGTGATGGTTTGTAGCCCTTGCCAGGCTTTCCTGCTGTCCTTGTCCATGAAAAGGTTTTCTAATTTGTCTTTGTATGCTGCCTTGCACTCGTTGACTTTGCTTTTGAGTCACCTCTGATTCTTTTTCCTTTCCTCTTTACTGCCACCTGATTTAAAACACTCGTTGTTTCTGGTTGAGGAGCTCTTAATTCCCGAGTTACCCACGGTTTATTAATGGGGAAGATGTTGACTTTCTTTTTGGGAATAACGAGATCCTCACAGAAACGGATGTACTCTGAGACAGTATCCACTGCCTCTTCCAGGTCATTGGCGCTGTCCGTCAGGGCCGCCCAGTCAGTGGACTCAAAACAGTCCTGGAGGACTTCACTAGCTTCAGGAGTCCAGCTTTCAATCTCCACCTTTTTAGCCTTCTCTCACTGCAAACGAGGTTTGTAGACTGGGATGAGCTGAACCATGTTATGATCCGAACCCCTAAGATTGGGTAGCGCCTTGGGAAAATGCGCACCTGGGATGTTACCATAACAGAGGTCCAGACAGGCTTCATTTTGGGTAGGACATGTAACATTTTGCTGATATGATGGTAAATGTTCAGATAGACTGCACATGTTAAAGTTTCCCATGATTAGCGTTTCTGCTTCAGGTGACTCGGTCTCAGCCTGGGATACAAGATCATGAATCACGTCGGCAGCTATTTGGGTGTCAGCGGGGGGGGGCTACGTAAACAATAAATAGTACTTGAGTACCCCTGGTCTATGTGTTGTGTTGATGTATTGTCTGTGTGTACTGTGGTAGGCTATGGTATGTACACTTGTAGTGCTTTGCCCTTTCTCAGAAGAGATTAAAACCTTGCACAATTACACACACTGACAGTCATGCTGAAATGACTAATAACCCAGGGCCGTTTAAGACTCATCGCCCCCATCTCTTCCCCAGGGTGATCTGGGTAATCCCCCCAGCGAATCAGCACGGGGTAGGGTGTGTGTGTGAGGGGGAGGGGTAACCTTGGCCCGACCGACATTAAGGGAGCGGAACTCCAGGCTATGATTTAATGATGTGCTCTGTGGGGCAGTGTGTCTGTGTGTGTGGGTTAGGTAAACATACTAGTCTAAACACTGAAGGCTTTGACGGTCTGCAGTCAGATTAGACTAATGTGTGTGTGCCTGATGCAGCACAGTGCTGACTTAAACAGGGATGTGATTCTTATGAGAATATTCTCTCTCTCTCTAATCGTCTCTTCTCCTTCCTTCTTTTTCCACTTGACTCTTCTCATGTCTTCTCCTCTCCCTCCCTCCCTCCCTCCCTCCCCCCCCCCTCCCTCCCTCCCTCCCCCTCCTCCCTTTCGGTTTCTCCTTACATAAAAGCGATCAATTAGTGAAGGGCAGGTCTGCCCCCCAGCTAAGTGTCACACAAGGTCACTTGACACACAAGCGCATACACACAAGAGTACATACACACCCGTAAGCACTTCAATCTGCTTGAAAAAAAACAGACAAGGTTTAAACATTGCTGTCCATAAATTATTCCCAACCAAATTTACTGAGCTTGGGCAATTTTGTCAAAACCAATGGACATAGGTTGCCCTGAGAGTTGTGTGGCAGCCGAAGGCGCTTCTACCAAATATTAACTCTGGGGTGTTATTTCATTCATTTCTCTAACTTTCTTGCACTTTGAATGTGTGGAGTAGATCTGTAGGGGGAAAGAACTCATAATTCATCATTTTCTAAAAATCTGAACACTGTACAAGGGGTGTGTAGACTTTTACCGGGCTCTGTACATTGTACACGTGTGCTGTACACTTAATCAGCTAGAGCCAGTAGGCTGAGTTACACCACAGGAACCACACAGTAGACTCTAATTCACAGTCAAGAAGTCTGTGGCCGTGTCCGAATACCGGTACCTGCGTTCTAAATAGTAGAGATTTTGGGTATGCGAAAATAGAACATTTTACTGTATGTGAAATTTCAAAAATGTTTTATGCTTTAAATGCAAGGATGTCATACTCATTTCGGCTTTTCATCTAGTAGAATTTGCTGCACACTATCGAGGAAGAGAATAATCTTTCGAGACCCACGTGTGTTTGACAACAGCTGATAATCAGATATGGTGACAAGCTTTACCAGAATGAACAAATGGCAGGAATCAACGCAATTACGCATTAGATGACGCATTCTCAGTATGGATGAGTAGTATGTTGATATTTGTCACTTACTGCATTCGATTTTACTAAACAGTACGTTCTAAATAGTATGTAGTACAATTAGTACACCGTTTTATTAAGTAGTAGGCAAGTCAGATTTCGGACAGATTGCGTGTGCATGTTTCAAGTTGTAAGTGAGCAGTCTACCTGTAAGATAAGGATAGATGCCACAATGTGGTATTGGAGTTGAAGTGCGTGTGTGTTTTTGCACGCGTGTGAGTGTACCTGCAGTAGGAGTATGAAGGAGTTGATATACGTTTGCCTCTCTGCTAGATGTAGAGGTGTAAGTGTGTGAGTGTGTGAGTTTGTGTGAGAGAGTGAGAGCATGCACTGCGTACCTGCAGTATGAGTATGAAGTAGTCGACAGGTTTGCCTCTCTGGTAGATGTAGTGCAGAGCGGAGCGCTTGTCACTGTCATTGAATTTGATCTCCTGGATGACATCAGGGTGGCGCAGGATCCTCAGTAACACCTTCTCAGTGACCTGACAGGGACTGAACAGACTCACCTCTGTAGGAAAGGAGAGAAGGGGTAAGGGTTGAATGGGGAGAGAGACACACCCGGAAATCAGACTTACAGATAGCGCCTTCAATTCAGACAGATCGGTAACACTTAAAGGCTGTATTTTGCATTAGGATGCGGTTATAATGCATCATAAGACTTGTTATGAGAATTATGTCTAATCTCAATCATCCAGCCTAAATACCGGCCGTTTGGTTGATACAAATAGATACTTTCCTTGATTTAGAGAGACCATTTATTATAAACATGATTATAAGACATTATAAAGGCTCATACGTGCTTTATTATAGCCCACTCACCTGTAGCCAGGAAGCGATGAGCAGCCAGCATCAGCTGGGGAGAGATCTTCACCTTGCACTCGTTCTCCGTGTGTTTAAAGGCAGAGAAGTCACGTGTTCTCTTGTTAGGGTCCACCTTCTTTCTGTTCCTATTGTCAGCTGGAGAGAGAAAACAGCAACTAACATGTTTAGTGAACCGTCTCAGTGCTTCATCTCCCGATGGGGCGCTTCCCTTTTAATTCCATATTAAAAAGCCAGCATCAGCTGCACAAAAGGCGGTTGACAGTGGTGGGAATGAGGTAGTGTTCAACCCTCAGTTCAGAAGCGTGAAAGTGTGTAACAACATGGATCGGATCAACTAATGTCTATTGTTGGACTACCCATCTCCGTTGGTCTCCACTGTTCTCCGTGGCCTTTCTGTTCTTGGCGGATTCGATTGAGTGATTACAACTTTTTCCAACCGTTATTTCATTTGTTTTATTGTGATTTACACCGTGTTGGTTTATGTCTTCAGGTAGGTTGGGGTAAAGTGACTATGCATAGATAATCAACAGCGAATAACAGCAGTGTAAAAACAAAGAGGGGGTAAATGTAAATAGTCCAGGTGGCCATTTGATTAATTGTTCAGCAGTCTTATGGCTTGGGGTAGAAGCTGTTAAGGAGCCTTTTGGACCTAGACTTGGCGCTCCGGTACCGCTTGCCGTGCGGTAGCAGAGAGAACAGTCTATGACTTGGGTGACTGGAGTCTTTGACAATTTTTTGGGTCTTCCTCTGACACCGCCTAGTATATAGGTCCTGGATGGCAGGAAGCTTGGCCCCTGTGATGTACTGGGCCGTGCACACTACCCTCTGTAGCGCCTTACGGTCGGATGTCGAGCAGTTGCCATACCAGGCGGTGATGCAACCGGTCAGGATGCTCTCAATGGTGCGGCTCCTTTGTTTGCTCACATTGAGGGAGAGGTTGTTGTCCTGGCACCACACTGCCAGGTCTCTGACCTCATCCCTATAGGCTGTCTCATCGTTGTTGGTGATCTGTTGTGTCGTCAGCAAACTTAATGATGGTGTTGGAGTCGTGGTTTGCCACGCAGTCGTGGGTGAACAGGGAGTACAGGAGGGGACTAAGCACGCACCCCTGAGGGGTCCCAGTGTTGAGGATCAGTGTGGCAGATGTGTTGTTGCCTACCCTTACCACCTGGGGGCTGCCCATCAGGAAGTCCAGGATCCAGTTGCAGAGGGAGGTGTTTAGTCCCAGGGTCCTTAGCTTAGTGATGAGCTTTGTTGGCATGATGGCGTTGAACGCTGAGCTGTAGTCAATGAACAGCATTCTCACATAGGTGTTCCTTTTGTCCAGGTGGGAAAGGGCAGTGTGGAGTGCAATTGAGATTGCGTCATCTGTGGATCTGTTAGGGCGGCATGCAAATTGGAGTGGGTCTAGGGTTTCCGGGATGATGGTGTTGATGTGAGCCATGACCAGCCTTTCAAAGCATTTCATGGCTACCGACGTGAGTGCTACAGGGTGGTTGAGACTGGGTTTACGCTACACTTTGTGAACAGACAGTTGTTGACTAAGGTCATTTGGGTTCAATCTGCTGATTTACCGGGCTGGACTTTTTAGGCCTGAGTAGGGTTGTGGCGGTCACGAAATTTAATCAACCGGTGATTGTCAAGCAAATAACTGTCGGTCTCACGGTAATTGACCGTAAATCAACATAAACACATTTAGCATCTCCTGGCTTCCACACACAGCCTACAAGCCACTGATGCAGACCTTTGGAACATCTACATTTAAAAAAGTATAATAAATCTGTGTAATATAGCCTACACCTTCACAATAAATCCATTATTTATTTTAGACAGGTCTAAAGAAACGAAGAAAATTTAGTCTATTTCAGAAGAACAGAATAGCATACTCTGAGTTGTCCTTATGTTAGGTCCTGATCTGGTTATGCCATATGGCTGTGGGCTACACTAGTTCATTTAGAAGACAAGATCTGCTTAGAATTCTGTGGAATTATTTTATAGTATGAAGAATACAATTGAACAAAGCTGAATAAAATAGAAAGGATATTTTTTCCAAACGATTTGAGGGAGTTCTGTGTTGAGCAGTTAACAAAGAAATAGGTACTCCTACATGCTTAATTTAGAGTTAATGTTCTACAAACGTTGGGCTATATGTTTTGATTTTTAATACATTGTAAGGCTGCATGATCCCACTCTAATGATGATTTGAAAAAAGTTGCTTGAAATGCATGAGCTCTGTCACTTACTCAGGCTGTACACAGTTCATCAGTCTCTCATTCACAATTTTACAAGCACTTGATAATGCCTCGAATATCCCGGCGGCATCCCCTTTGAGTGGCCGTAATGCACCCTAAAAGAATCCATGCCTTTTGCGGCCAGTGGCCGTTGTTCCCTTCTCCCTGGGTCTCCATCACATGATAGGGTCTTTCTCACAGGCTACAAGAAAAGACAGACACTTCGGGGACGCAACTGCACGCGTCCTTATCCAATTCCAAGGTGCATATTGAAGATATTGGAAGAACTGTCCACATATACTTTTTGTCAGCCAACAAGATGAGTAGGCCTAACGAACAGCAAATGCTGAAGAAATAAATATTCCTGGGACAGTTGTGGGATGCGATAGATCCCAAATTAATACAACCACTAGCATGAGGCTGATGCAACAGATCAGAACGTTTAGCTTAAAATGTGATAAACTATGTGGCTATTTCTCCACATTATAAGCACAGCAATGCACACATGGCAGTAGGCTGTAAGCGGGAAAACACCATTATCAAAAGTGACCGCAAATGAGATTATGCATGTAATGCTTTTATTATAAAGGTCAATTTTTATGGTGAAAATTATCTTCCCCAAACTTGAAACTCACGCGCTGCTTATGTATGCCAGTTAGGCTCTAAACCCATTGTAAAGCGGATTAATGTGTTTAATTTTAAGAAGTTATTTGGCAACTTCAGTTGTAATACAAACCTTATTAAAACATATAGGCCTATGGGCTAGGCTACATGAGGTGTGCGACTATGATTTGAAAAAGCCGCAAGAAAAAGGCATTGTTTCTTATGCTGGGCATTATTCACAAGTGTTAATATATAATTCACAAGTGATAGGCTAGTATTGTCACCCATCAGACTATTATTGATTTAATCTTGTCTTTACATATACTAAATAATATATGTGTGAAATTTGTTTTGATTTAGTATGGACCATTATCATGCACCTGTCTCGAAACAGGGGCAGGGGAAAAATACATGTAATCTATGCACTTAAATAGCGAATGGAGGACACTTTTCCCATGGTTCATTTTCATACCAGCCAGGTAGGCTATACTCCTGTTGTAAAGATAAGCAATGTGCTTAATATTAGGAAAGTTGAGAAATAAATATAGTAGGCCTAGTCTATAGAAAGCTGATGGGATCCTACTCTTTTTAAGAGGCCATCACTCTGTTTTCTCACGCAATTAGAAATGTTGCGCAACATGAGCTCATGAAGTGTTTGATTCGATTTTCGTTCACATTTGCATTGATGTCAGAGTGATTAGAGGGACAATAGAGTGCTGAGTACCAGGCAGTTAGCAAGTTTGGTAGGCTACTAATGACCATCAGCAGCATCAGAGCTTGGAGAAGCCAAATTACCGTGACTAAACGGTCATGTGGAATTTGACTGCCGTCATGACTCGTGACCGCCGATGTGGCAGTAATATGGTCACCGTAACAGCCCTAGGCCTGAGGAACCTCAGATATTATTATTTTGAGACAATTATGTTTGTGGCATCATTTATCGGGAATAATAAAATAATTGCAAAAATAATTATTGTTTTGAAGTTATTTCTAATGTTTTTAAGGGTTTATGAAAAGTTTACTTTCCATTCTGACTTTTTTATGAGTCCTTTGTATTGGTATAGATTTGACGGATCAGACAGGACTCATTCCCTCACAAACAACAAGGAGAAATCATACAATTTATCTGGTAGGCCGACCTACCTGGCACCCCTAAACAAACAATAACCTCAAGTTAAAACCGTTACAGCATGTGCACATGACACTAGTGAATTCACTATCGTCAAACATTTTCAATAAATAAATAACATATTTAGCAGGGGTGGCCAACGCTCCCCTGGGAAGCTAATAGGTAGGCTTTTGCTCTAGCCCTACACATATTAGTTGATTTAGAATGGGAATATGTACCCAAATTCATTTAAATAAAAACAAATCTAGAAGAAATACGTTAATTTTTCCAAAATGCCATGCCCAAATGCGACCCTACAGTTACACGCTTCATTCAGCTAATCAAGGTCCTGAGGAGAAGCTGATTAGTAGAATCAGATGTGTTAGAATAGGATTGGAACCAAATCCTGCAGGAGGGTAGTTCTCCAAGAGTAGGGTTTACTAATGGCCATCCCTGATTTAACTCATTACACTCCACACAGTTCACTACAGTTTAAGTAAATGGACTCTGGATTGACTCACTATAAAGGTCGGACTCATCCAGGATCTCTGATTTGATGATCTCCTCAATTACGTCCTCCAAGGTGACCAATCCCAGCACCTCGTAGAAGGGATCCCCCTCCCCCTCGTTGTTCACCTTCTGAACGATGGCCAGATGGGATTTACCTAGAAGAGTAACGCACCAGAGTTAGAGTCAAGACTAAAACCCACAAGACCCAGTCCACAACCAGACCTAGTGTATACCAATGGGACTGTGACAAGACCAAGATCAGTCAGTACTGGGGTCAGTCCTGTCGTTAGCCAGTCAGTATGTCAGTACTGTGATCAGTCAATCAAGCAGTCAGTCAGTACTGCGGTCAGTCAGTATTGTGGTCAGTCAGTGAAAACTGTGGGCAGTCTGACAAGACTGTGGTCAGTCAGTCAGTACTGTGGTCAGTCAGTCAGTACTGTCGGGGGGAATTTCTGAAGGTTGAGAGGAGAGACTGTGCCTGGTCCCTGGGGGTACTTAAGTGTACTGTATAATAAGTCACATGATCTCTCTCTCTCGCTCATCTCCCTCTGGCAGTTCCCCCAGTTTTCCTCTCTTTAAGCTCTAAGTCCATAACAAGAAAGGGGGATGGGAATAAAGACAGAAGGGGGTAATCCACTCACTCTTAGCTTACTATTCCTCCTCTCCAAGTGTTAAGAGAGTTGGGAACACCCTGTTCTGTGTATTTCCCAATTTTTGTCACAATGTATAATATTCAGATATAGCCTATTGTATTGTCAGCCTTCACTTAAAGGGGAGGTGAACACAAATTGGGAAGTGATTGGCTGTCAAGTCAATCTAACAAACAAACATCACAGAGTCAAGAAAACAAATGCCCATTCCACTGACAACACTGCTGACATCTCAAATACTAATGACCTCAAATACTGCAGTCACCTTCCAGCCAATAAAAAGAAGAGTCGAGACACCACTGGGTCAGAAGAGTGAGGTCACACGGTGATTATAGCCGTGACGACGACCTGAACGCGTGGTTGTTACGCTCGGTCAGTGTCGGCCATCTTTGATTTCAGACTGTCTGTGTGATGTCAGGATCAGGACTGGCCTGTAACTATCAATATCCCTCCACTATCTCACCATGCGGTCTAACAACAAAAACTAGCCTACTTCAACCACTCACCCTTAACCCTCACCCATACCTTACCCCCAACCTTACTCATGTGTTAATGCTTGGCTGAAACAAACGCCTGCACTCTGTAGGTCTCCAGCACTGTAAGAAACATTTCAACTTATCCCAATCCATATAGGCCAATTCCCACGAGTGTATTAATATACACTGACTATACAAAACATTAAGAACACCTGCTCTTTCCTTGACCTAGACTAACCAGGTGAATGCTATGGTCCCTTTTTGATGTCACTTCGTAAATCCACTTCAATCAGTGTAGATGAAGGGGAGGAGACCAGTTAAAGAAGGATTTTAAAGCCTTGAGACAATTGAGACATGGATTGTGTATGCGTGCCATTCAGTGGGTGAATGGGCAAGACAAAAGATTTAAGTGCCTTTGAACGGGGTATGGTAGTAGGTGCCAGGTGCACCAATTTGTGTCAACAACTGCAACGCTGCTGGGTTTTTCATGCTCAACAGTTTCCCGTGTGTATCAAGAATGGTCCACCACCCAAAGGATATCCAGCCAACTTGACACAACTGTGGGAAGCATTGGAGTCAACATGGGCCAGCATCCCTGTTGAACACTTTCGACACCTTGTAGAGTCCATGCCCTGACAAATTGAGGCTGTTCTGAGGGCAAAAGGGGGGAGGGTGCAACTCAATATTAGGAAGGTTTTCTTAATGTTTTGTACACTCAGTGTACAGAGCTTTTGATTGAAGTGATGTGCCCTTAAGCAAGGCACTTAACCCTAATTGCTCCTGTAAGTCGCTCTGGATAAGAGCGTCTGCTAAATGACAAAAATAAAAAATAAGTGTTTCAACAACATCCTAGCCCCTGTATAGCCCTGAGGCTGAGTGATGATAGCAGCCCTTGCCCAATGAATGCTCTCTCCTGTGCGGACCTTCTACTCTTAAGAGCTAAATGACAACAGAATGGACGATACAGAAGGGTAAATCCAAATGAATTCAATCACTTTTTGACAGCACCCCTTTTGTTTTGAACGAAACCTTCCATACATATTTGCTCATTGTAGAAGTGCTCAGAAAGTGACCTTTTGGACCAGAAGGCCAAAACATTCCATAGATAAAGGTGCTCAAAGTTAACCAATTTTTCATACCCCACCATACCAAGAGACATCCATGTCTTCATCACTGGAAAAGTTAAACGGTTGAGAGATGTTTTTTAATAAAATAATTGGTCATTTTTTTTTACCTTAAACGTAAATTATCTGAAAACGTGTAAACTCCGACTTTTTAAATATTTGCATATGTTGTAGCTTAGACCGTATTTTAGCTACATCATCTGAGTTTTTGTGTTGTGCCCACCATCAGTTGAGACACAACATGCTCTTGAATACAGGGTGGGTGTCATGTTTCGGGTTGATAAATGTACTAAAATGGGAATTGAATAGAAATTTCGACTTTCAAATGGTACCACAAAGATGGTTGGAGATCCACACATCAGAGAATGTTGACTTGAATGGGAATATCTGTTGTTTTAAATTATACTGTCAATCCTCAATAGGAAAACTATTCTATTGAAATAATAGAAATATAGATAATAGAATAGACATGACCATTTAAGTTGACATTCGACGGCTGGTGGACCGGCGGCCTTCTTTGTGGCATTAATGAGAAGTTAACATGGTGTACCAGCTAAATTGCAGTGGTCTAAATGGATAGGTAAATTCTATTTTTATGATTGAAATGACACCCACTCTGTATTCAAGAGCATGTTGTGTCTCAACCGATGGCAGGCACAACATAAAAACTTCAGATGGATGTAAAGTAGGGTCTAACCTACAACATATGGGAATATGAAAAAAATAAAATAAAATAAAAAGTTTACTAGATTAGATAATTGACGTTAAAGGTTATTTTGTATTATAAAATAGCTTGACAACCCTGTTTGTAAGCTTTTAAATGATATCAAACTCAACCGTTTATATTTTCCAATGATGAAGACATTGATATCTCATGGTATGGTGGGGTTTGCAAAAAATTGGTCAACTTTGAGCACCTCAATCTCCTGAATGTTTTGGCATTCAGGTCCAAAAAGTCACTTTCTGACTCCTTCTTCCATGGGTAAACATGTATGGAAAGTTTTGTTTAAATTAAAAGGGGTGTGGTCAGAAAGTGATTGAATTCAAATGGATTTACCCAGAACTAATTATGGGAGGGGTAACGGTAGAGCTAGGTTACCTATACATGCTTTAATTCCAGCCCATCACGAACACACCTGATTCAACTAATCAACCAGGTGTGATTAGTGCAAGTCTGGGACTAAAACCTGCACACCATGTCCATGTAGCTCTCCAGGGTCAGAGTTGCTGACCCCTAGATTGTGGTGTGTATCACATTTGTTCCCTGCCGTGACAACTGCGTCGAGATATTCCACTCGTCGATACACACGTCAATACAGCCAGGGTGGTGTGTCCACACCATATGGCAGACACATCGCTGTGTGTGTCAAAGAGTGTGTGTGTGTGTAATGTGTAGCCTATTGATTATGTAGCGAGATTAATGCATTTGAAATACATCAACCATGTATGTAAGCATGGTGATGTATGACACGTGCAGAGACACACATACACGCAGACACAACCATCCTCCAGATACACACACCTTTCTTGAACTCCTCCAGCATGGAGTCCAGTCGAGTGTCATGGAACACAAAGTGGACCGGGTGGTTGTAGAACTTAGTGATGGTCTTCAGCGTGGTGCAGTCGTCTGGGTCCACGAACGCCAGGTCCTTCACGTACAGGATGTCCACGATGTTGGAGCGCTCGTCGTCGAACACGGGTATACGCGTGTAGCCGCTCTCCATGATCTCTGACATGGTGTTGAAGTCGAGGACCGAATCATTCTGGATCATGAAGCAGTGTGCCAGAGGAGTCATCACGCTCTCCACCGTCTTATTCCGGAGTTCCAGAGCTCCTTGGATCATGTTGAGCTCCTCTTTGACCAGGTCGTTGTACGGTTCTGTCACCCTGAGCATCTCCACCAGCTTCTCGCGGTTATACACGGTGCCGATCTCCTGGCCTAGGAGCACATCTAGGAGCTTGCTGACAGGGAAGGAGAGGGGGAAGGTGAGCAACATGAAGAACTTGGTCACCTGGATGGTGTTGGCGCCCACCGCCAGCCCGTGGCGAGAGCACAGCGCCTGGGGGACAATCTCGCCGAAAATCACGATACCCACTGTGGAGGCGACCACGGCGCCCAGCCCAGAGCCTATTAAGTCATCCAGGAGGATGGTGAGTGTGGTGTTGACCAGGACGTTGCCAAGCAGCAGCGAGCAGAGAAGGTAGTTCCCCTTACTGCGGATGGGCTCAATTTTGCGGGCATATTTCTTTTCCTTCTCTGAGCCACAACTCTGGACTATACGGAGCTCCATGGGGTCCAGAGCCATGAGCCCCAGGTTCAGCCCGCTGAACATGCCAGACAGCACCAACAGACAGCAGATAAGGATGATCTGGAACCACAGGGGGAGGAGAGTTTTCTCCCCCTCTACCACCCGGAGTCTCCCGTCGCTATCCCCGAGCAGAGCCCACCTGCCATTGGCCAAACTCCTGATGCACAACCCGTATTCCTTGTATGGCTCGCTCTTACGAAGGGGCTTAATGTTTACGCTGAGTACCCCCGTGGTCCCCCGGCTACTGATGTTCATATAGGTCGCAATGCTGAAGTCTTTGGTGAAGTCAACACAAGTCCTGTTAGGTGTGTCGTCAATAATGTTATTGTCCCCCCCCTCCTCGCTCCCATCCCCTCGTTCCGTGAATCGGATCTGCGCCCAGGTGCCCTGAGTTGAGCTGCACACCGTAGAACCGTAGCTGTACTGTGCTCTCCTCCGTTACCTGTATGACCCCGTCGTCAGTGGTCGTGGCCGGTTTGTCGCTCCTCTCCAGCCGCATACCAAGCACCTGGGTCCCGCTGTTGCTGACACTCGACGTGGCTGTATCGGTGCGTCCCCCGACTGCACTCCAAAGGAAAACGATTAAAGTTAGAACGTAGCCTTGCTGCCCGGTCCATTCTGTCGCCATGTTTGTTTCACTCTGCTGCTGGCGAACTGGGAGCTAACGTCACTTACTCATGTCCCTCCGGCCCCGCCCCTCTACTACCATAATAACCTTAAAGCACCGCCTATCGGACACGGCAGGTATTGCGCCCCGCCCCACACACACACACACACACACACACACACACACACACACACACACACACACACACACACACACACACACACACACACACACACACACACTATCCTGAACCCTATAGTATGCAGGATCTTTTTATATAGGCTACTGTTGGGGTTGATGTTTAGCTACTGTCGGGCAATATTCTGAGCTGCACGTTCACGCGGGATCGCGCTGCAGTTTTTCTCATGTCGCATGGTCGTGCGCGTGCATGGGAGACTCTAAGGCACGCATAATGCTATGTAGAACTAACCATAGAAATAGAATGACTCATTATATTTCTATGTAACTAAGCTGTAGCCTACACACACTTTATGCTGAGCAATTTTTGTGTTTGCTAATTGCATTCTGTAGTTTATCTGTCATTTATTAGGCTCACCATTATGATTGTGTTTATATAGGCTTTATAGCCACATCAAATTGTACGTTATAAAGCCTATCAATGCACATAATCAATTATTAATATCTTGCATCTTGATATCAGCCCAAGGTATATTATCCACAATTAACTGGCATCCTCACATTTTGCCATAAAGGCCCAAGGCAATGCGGCAAAGTGAATCCTGCGGTGCCCAGCGGTTTGTATTCAGTCAGAGACCCAGTTGTTATGTAACGTGACCGCACACTGCATCTGTGCGTCTCACCCGCATCTATCTGGCTCTGTGCCCGCTCCTAAGGTAGGATGCAGAGGAGGCTGGTGGGATGAGCTATAGGAGGACGGGCTCATTGTAATGGCTGGAATGGAATCAATGGAACGGAGTCAAACGTGGTTTCCATTTTATTTTATTTTTTTACCTTTATTTTAGCAGTGAGTCACCATTGACACCAGTGTCTCTTTTTAAAGGGAGCCCTGCTTATACAATTTCATAGAACTAAAAAATGTAACACAATATAAAACAAGTAAAATACAGCACGACACAAATTGCACAGACAAACATAAATATACACAATATACACGAAACACGATCAACTAAAGCAAACACGTTCTTCATTATATAATTCCTCTGTCCACTCTCTAAATTGCCCCAGGGACACTAAGGCGGTGCTGTGTACTGTTGTTTGGAGATCATTCCAAACATATGGAGCAGAAAAACTAAAGGCCGATTTACACCAGAGCCTCCAGAGTTAACTAACCCTGTGAACGGGTTTGGTAACTTGTCATTTTAAATCTTAATAGTGAAGTTAGGTAAGTCATAAGCTTGTGGAGCAGGGCTTTGTAAACAAAAAGAGCGTAATGATGTGATCTACATGACTTCAAAGAGGTCCAGCCAACCTATTGGTAAAGAATACAGTGATGAGTAATACAACGGACTTCTGTGATATAACAAAGGGCGCTATAAACAACAGCATTTGCACTTTGATAGAGGCAGCTGCACTTTGATAAATAGTATCACCATGATCAAGAACAGGTAGAAAGATTGACTGCACAATCTGCTTCCTGCTGAGAGAGACAAGATCTGTTTCTGTGAAAAAAAGCCCACTTTAAATCTTAGTTTCTTAACAAGCTAATTTGTATGTTTTTTGAACGATAAATTATTGTTGTCAGTCCAAATACCAAGGTATTTGTATGCAGAGAATCGTTGGATTATAGAACCATCCGATGAGTGAAGATGTAATCCATCTCAGACAATCTTACGAGAACTTGAAAACTACATGTATTTAGTTTTGCCTGTATTAAGCACAAGTTTTAAATCAGTAAGGGCTTCTTGCACAGCTGCAAAATGGGACTGTAGCCTTGTCACAGCCAGGTCAGCAGTCGGGCAATTGTGTACATAATAGTATCGTCTGCATATAGATGAAATGTACAACTTTTAACAGATTGACCAATAGCATTTATATACAGTAAATAGTGAAAAGAACAGGTCCTAGAATTGACCCCTGTGGAACATCTTTATGTACTTAAAGAAATTCAGACTTAACCCCACCAATCACGATGGCCTCAGTTATGTCACTTAACTAATCATGAAACCAAGAGCAGGCGTCAGAGCCCAGGCCAATCGAGGACAACTTGAATGAAATAGCATGATCAACAGTATCAAATGGTTTTGACAGGTCCACAAACAAGGCAGCACAATTCATTGATTTATATTCAAAATACCATGCTCAGATAAAAAAGAGAAAAGTTGCTTATTTACCACTATCTCCACCCTTATGGAGTGGCAGCACAAATGCTGTTTTCCATACTTTTGGAATATTTCCTGATAACAATGTTAGATTTAAGATATGGGTTACTGAGCCAGCAATGAGGGGGGCAGCACACTTGAGCAGACCCGGCTCCAATTGGTCAGCCCCTGTGGATTTCTTGCCATCTATAGTAAGTAAGACATCAAGGACTTATTTTTCTGTGAATTGCCGAAATGCAAAAACTTGACTACCTTATTCCGAGTAAATCTGCAAAATTTCCACATCAGCGTTTAGCCCATTCTTAGAGATAGAAGGGTCAGATGCGCTTTCAAAAAGATAGCCTGCTGAAATAAAATGACGATTAAATGCATCAATGATGGCATTTGTTTTGTAATGGGATCAGAGTCTCAATTACTTTGTTGGGGCAGAGAGGAGGAAGTGCAACCCTTTAGAGATTTGACAGTTTTCCAGAATTTAGCTGGGTTCCCCTTACAATCAGAAAGATTGTAAGAGTGGTTACATAATAATCAGATTTAGCCTTTCTGATCAGTCATACACATTGATTCCTCAGTTGCCTAAATTATTGCCAATCCGAGCCTAATCCTGCATTCCTGGCCTTGACCCAGGCAACATTTCTCTTATGAATGACTTTGGATAATTCAGGAGTGAACCAGGCATTCGATCTACCTTTAACTCTCAGAGATTTGAAGGGGGCATGATTATCTACAAAGGTATTGAAGACATTTTCAAAAAAGCTTAAAGCTAAATCAGATTCAGGGATAGCTGAGATACAATCAAGGTCAATAAAATAAAGATAATGTAAAAAAGCTTGTTCACTAAAGTTTTTAAAGTTCCTCTTAGTGATGACACGAGACTTAGATTGATGCATTTTCACATCTCAGACACAGACAATTGGGCAATGGTCACTAGAATCCAGCGGGAAAACCCCACTAGCAACATATTTAACTGGATTATCGTCAAAATAAGATAAATCAAGGTAGATTTCAAATCAAATCAAATCAAATCAAATTTTATTGGTCACATGCGCCGAATACAACAGGTGCAGACATTACAGTGAAATGCTTACTTACAGCCCTTAACCAACAGTGCATTTATTTTAAACAGAAAAAGTAAGAATAAAACAACAAAAAAGTGTTGAGAAAAAAAGAGCAGAAGTAAAAATAAAGTGACAGTAGGGAGGCTATATATACAATAGAATAAAGTGACAGTAGGTAGGCTATATATACAGGGGGGTACCGTTGCATTGTCAATGTGCGGGGGCACCGGCTAGTTGAGGTAGTTGAGGTAATATGTACATGTGGGTAGAGTTAAAGTGACTATGCATAAATACTTAACAGAGTAGCAGCAGCGTAAAAAGTATGGACGGATTTCCGACGGATGTTTAGGATTCGGCCATGTTGGCTCAGTTATCAGCTGAGACAGGTTTAGCTCAGAGCAAATATCTTTCAGCGTATTTGACACTGACATCCTCCAATCAATATAAAAATTGCCCTTCATTAATAGTTCAGATTTATCATACTTGGATAGTAATTCAGATAAATTGTTAAGAGCACACGAGGGAGCCGAGGGAGGACGATACACTCCTACTAGTATCAGCTGGTTATTATGACCAAGAACCACATTAAGAACAAGACAATCAAACTGCTTAGGGACAGAGGTAGCAAGATATACAGAAACATTTAAATTGTCCTTGGTAAATATGACAACACCCCCACCTCTGCCAATTTTGTCCGATCTGTAAACATTATAACCAGATAGAGACACATCACAGTCCAGCACATAATTATTCAACCAAGTTTCAGAAATTACCAAAATGTCCACGTTGGACTGAGAAGTCCGAATTTTAATAACATCCATAATTGAAATCAAACTTCTGGCATTTACATGAACAAATCTAAAGCCACAGCTGCAGGATTTCAGGTCAGATAGAGTCTCTAATACATTTTACATTTACATTTTAGTCATTCAGCAGACGCTCTTATCCAGAGCGACTTACAGTTAGTGAGTGCATACATTTTCATACTGGCCCCCCGTGGGAAACAAACCCACAACCCTGGCGCCATGCTCTACCAACTGAGCTACAGGGGACCTATAATACAAGCATGCTATGACCAGTAGACAACCCCTTATTAGAAAATACCATAGATTGGTTTGAATTGTTATAGGATTGTCTAGAACTGAACCAATGGGCCTATGCCTCGAGCGAGGACGTGGGTTAAAACAAGAGTCAATGAGGGTTACATGTTGCGGGCCTGCAGTATGATGACAATGCTGATCTATGGTTGGGATCACCTGAGCGGGACTTTGGCAACATTTTCACACTGAAGAATCTTGTGGGTAACACCTGAGTGGGGTTTGGTCTGTTTCTGAGTCAATATCTTAAAGCAGCCTTGAAATGTGAAGAGGGTCCAGGCTCCTAGATGGTTTCGATGGAGCACATAATCTCTGTAGAGCATTTTTGTTTCCAAAAAGTGTCGGAATTTTCAATAAAAGTTAAGCCAACAGAGTGGCAGTAGTCTTTAAGCCGGATATGAAGTGCTAAGAGCCTGCTGAACCTTGGGGCCAGAGATAATCGGCTGCTTTTCAGAGCATTTCAGGGTGTTGATCAGCTCAATAAAATCCTGTTTCATTAGCGCTGATTTACCCTTATTGATATCATTTGATCCCACATGTACTACGACAGCAGCAGCCCTTGGCTGCTAATGTAGGACGGACGGAATCAATCCTGTGATATCCTTCACCACAAGGTT